GAAAAACACCGGTGATAAGGAGATGCACCATTAGTCTTCTCATTTACTTGACAAACTCTAACAGAGCCCTGGGTCTATACATTCAAATAGGTTCATTCAGACACAACACAATAATGGGCTGCTGGTGACACTGGCCATAGTTCTTTAAGCGGTGGCTAAAGTATTTTTGAGTGCAACTTAATTTTAAGTAAGTCATCCAAGCTCTTTACCATTTTTGTTGTACTTGTGATTTCCATTCATTCCACACACAGTGATGACAGAAGTGAGACGCCAAACACACTGGAGCAATGAAGCCGACCATCTCCATCCACCCACTCTCTCATTACATTCAGATCTATTGTATGTGTTTTTACTCGTATAGGGGAAATCGGAGCACCCGGAGGAAACCTACGTAGATATGGAGAGAACATGCAAACTCCCCACAGAAAGTGCCTGGAGGTGGAATTGAACCAAGGACCTGTGAGGCACAAGCACTAACCACTCCACCACTGTGCCAACCATTGTGTTTTAGTAATAAAGTAATAAGAATTTAAACATTTTTGATATTTGGATACGGATTGGGAAACAGATTTACAATTCATCATTTCTATTCTATACCGATCTCATTGTGAAAACTTTAGAAAGAGCATGTTCAAAAAGTAACTAGAGAGCAGCTGCCTCAAAACCAAAAGCTGGCCTTAGTAGAGAAGGTCCACCGAACCTTTCAGCCACATCTTAGAGAGTAAATATCTATATAATCCACAGCATATAATAGAGGAAATAAATGGAGATATCAAGGACATATGGAAATTAAAACGTGTAATTATTAATTCCAAACAAAATTCTCTGCTTGTAATAGAAATTAACATTTAATAAGTACAAAACGATAACACTTTGGACAGTCACAATTAGCAATTTGTTAAGACCGCAGTTGTATTCAAATATCATTTCCATCCGCAAACAAACAAGTCTCATGAAAACTGTCAATCCTGGATTTAAAATGTATATTTTAGCTTTTCATTTTTCTGAATCGTGAACATAAACATAAATCAAATTCATGTCATAAAAGACTGTTGGATGTCAATTTCTCCAGTGTGAGATCTATAGAGTCCATCTTATCTTTTTCAGCAAGGGATATTTTATTCATCTGTGGAAATAGCAAAAAACTAAAACATTTACTTTAAAATACTTTTCCACCTTAATAGTTTTCGTAGAATTGTCCTGCTGTGCACATTTGATAAATCTTCAGATGACTCTTATATCAAGTCTGGATGTTAGTATTCACAGTATACATTACATCTCTGACTCTTCTATACCTGTGAAAAGCATGCTGTACGACGACAAGACATCATAAAGACAGAATGATGCTGAAGTCGACTGGGAGGCGTGCGCTGCATTAGTCTAATCAACACTAACAGAAGCAGGCGCTGAGCAGGTACAGTCTGAACTGCAGGAGAAATCATGGAAAACACTCATTAACAGTTTTGCAGACGGGGAAAAGTGTGACTGAAGCGCAAAAGTTTAGCGTAAAGTCAGCGGTGATTAAGTTAACAAAGTCTGAAGTTTATGCACAAAGCCAAAAATACAGCTATACGTTCCCAATTCTACTGGTGACAACTTGTGTGTAAAATTAAAAATAGGGAAAAAAAGAAACCTCTGCTAATTTTTCATCTCTCTCTGACTTTTCTGATTATTTTCCTTTCTTTTGACAGTTCTCAAAGTGAAAGACCTTTAACTTTTTGCGCGCTAGAAACTGTCAAAATATAAATTCTATATGTAACTTGTCCCTTACTTTTTCAGAAGAGAATGTTGAATTTGGTTTCATCACACATGGACAAGCAAAGATATTCCACATTTCAACCAAAACAAATAATTAGACTATTATTATCACTATTGGGTATCAGGATTGTATAAATAAATGCACCACAAGAGAGACTAAAAAAAAACTAAAAAAGACCTTTTCTAAATTTCAACCATGGCAAACAGCTATTTCTAGTCCCACATGGCTCTTTGCGGGGCTACAGAAACAGAAACTTTTATAAATAACTGCTCATAAAATACCCCAAAAAACAGACTAAAAATATGCTATACATTTCCATATTAATACTATTTCTACTGGTGGAAAAAATGTGTATATTATAAATAGAGAACAATTATCTTTACTCATTTTTCTAGATAATTTTCCTGTCTTTTGTCATTTCTCAAATGAAGGACAGCTCAGTGTTGGTTGGAGATCTATTTTTCCATGAGAAAGATTAATTTGGTCTCATCACATATTGACAACAAACAACAAATCCACATTTTTAACCCATTATTATTGCAGTGCTGTGATAAGTATTGAGCGTCAGGACTAAAAAACCTCTCCTAATGTCCAAAAATGACAGATAAACTAGTAACAGCAAACTTTTATGTATAACTCAAATTAAAATGTTGGATTTCTCTCTATTTCTACATTCTTTATTCATGCAGCTAAAACACCTGCTCCTAAAACAAAGCATCAAAGTGGAGGCGGCTCGTCAACATGAGTGCTGTTACCTGAACGTGTCGCAGTGGAGGTGTGAGTGAGAATCTGTGTTTCCTGTCGCCTCCGTCTCACTGAGCTCCTTCAGGATCACACGACAAGCGCGCCTCCAGAGCTGCACCTCCAGAGCTGCACCTCCAGAGCTGCACCTCCTCCTGTGATGAACAATATTAAAGCTGGATTACCCAAATTTGGAACCACGACTGACATACAATCCATGTCATTGCATCCTATAGCTCTCAAAACTGTCTGGTCTCATCACTGGCTTTCACATGCACATGGTTTTTTCATTTTGTCACATCTTTAGATCAGATTTTTTTTTACTGAAAATTGAAAAAGACCACCCTAAAATGTGATCAATGTAATAAAGAAAAGCAGGTTGTGGTCTGCTTTGTTCACAAAATGGTAACTTAAACCAGACTCTTTCTGTTGGAACAAATAAAACATTTTATCTTTACATGTTAACATTTTGTGTTGAATGGAGCGGCTGAACCGTGCAAAACAGATTTCGGGTCCTTGTGTCTGACAATAAAGTATTTATCTTTCTATTTAGGAAACAAAAGACAAAGTTAGGCACCACAGCCTTAAAGCAGCACATTGCACTCGTCTTATTGGCCATAAAGATTCTTTTAGTAGTTGAGCCATCTATCAATTATTACCTTGGATTATTTCAGTAATCTTTGAACTGTTTTTACAATACTGCTTATTCAAGACATTTTTTGGAAAATTATGATTCATAGTTTTTCATAGTTTTAAGTATAGAAATGAACTGATGGAAACAAAATTGGAATCAAAGGACTTTTGTAATTGTTGAGACTCAATTGTTTCAGGCCTAATTGGAATGGCTCATGGGAGAATATTTGTAATTTAAATACAAGAACATCAGTTAATATTTTTGGAGATATTTTTTTTACTGCAAATTGAGATTATACGGGCTACACACAAGTAAACCCCACTTGCCACCAGTACAAGGTCATGCCATGTAAAATGGTTATTATTTTGTGTTTAGAAAAAACTATTTTATAAGTTGAAACTTTACAAACAGAAGACAAAATACATTTTCTAAGTTTTTCTTTATTTCTCTTTTATAGTTATGTTGGGATCAATTGACCTCAATTTGCTTTGTCCTCAAACTCACAATAACATTCGTGAAGGGGACAACAAATCAACAAACGCCCTTCGAGAAGACGGCTGTTTATCAAAAAAAGTTTTGATAAACACAATGTTAGGAATAACAAGTTTAAAATTCAAAGCCTGTTTCTAACAGGTCTAGAAGAACACTTTTGAGCACTAACTAGGTCCTGATGTGAAAATGTGAGATGCAACACAAGATGGAATTTTAAAAACTTAACCCCGACAGCTAAATCATTCAAAATATATTTCATATTAATGACAGATGTATGAGAGTTGTGTATGGTGTTGTGGAGGAGAAACTTCTTCCAGCTGATCCATTTTGTCCAGATAAATAAACGACAAAGATAAGAGAAGTCACTAACGCAAGATCTGGTCCATAAGGAATAGGGAGAGTAGATTCAGGTGAGATTTTATCACATGAGAATCAGATGCAGCCTGCCTTGTGACTCACATCCTTTACAATTCTAGGGCTCAAGTAGAATTACATATTAGCGCTTTGAAAGTATTTCAAATTAATTGGGGGTCCTCTGAGACATCTTCTCATTAAAGTTCATGAGTTTGATGTGTCACCAGTTTCTCTCAATGATTTGAATTCAAGGAGCAATGAAAAGAATGTTTTCTTTCTGCATGTTAATGACTGCACATGTACAATTCAGTAAGAAGTATGGTTTTAGAGTATTTGATAATGAAGCAGCTATCTAAATTATATTTCAGTTTTATGAATCATAAGAATATGCAGTTTAAAATAACTAGTAATTTTCAAAACGTGTCAAAAATCATTATTTATTTTCAAAAGGATTTTTTTTTTTAAGTCAGAGTCAGACTCAAATCCTTCATTATCGCACATATCGTTCATCCATGGTAGCGTGAAATACAAGTTCACTACACACCAATATCTGTTATGCACTGCCATCTAGTGGACGAGGTGAGAAATACAAATACTGTAGGAGGATTTTTATTATAAACAAACTATAAAAATTATCATTTGTTTCTTGTTGTTACCAAATAAACACGTAGATTGTTTATTACAACTAACTTTCATATTTTTGTAGACAAGTGAGTTTATTCAAAATCACTACAAAATGTATATAAATAGATTATGAAGAAAAAAATACTGAATATGCTAAAAACAAACTAAATGTGTACATAAAACATTGTTATTTTAAAAAAGGAAGTGAAGGAAAAACCTCTTACATCAGCGTTTACAGTTAGAGCACCAATAAGAACAATAACATGAATTAATAAAAAGAATATGTAAGAAAAATGTCAGGTAATGGGAGGCCAGGGCGCTGTATAGAAAGTGTCCTGGAGTCACGCTCTCATATGGCAGTTCATAAAGGGTTAATATTGAAGGGTCCATGTGTGGTCAGAGCACAGAGCGGTATTTACAGGCGAACATGATCCAGACGGCGCACGCGTTTTCAGGGTAAACAAAAACACGGACTCTCAAGGCCAGCCTCACATGGTCCCCACGGCAACAGACTATCTCATCACAGCATGGAGACCTGGGGGAAAGGGGAAAGGATAGATCACATAAAAAGAGCTTTAAAACTATAATGATGTGCTATATGTTCTGGCACCATAAACAATTTTTAAATTTCTTCCCCACAAGCCTGAATCGAGCTGAAAGCAACAATAATAATTCCTTTAATCTAATCCTTGGATAGTTTTTGGAAGGATTGGAAAATAAATCACCATGAAAAATGTTCATGACCTGTATTCACTTCATCCTTTCAATGTTGTTAAATAATAATACTATTATATATTTTTTATATATACAGCCACCGATTGTGCAAGTTCTCCCACTTAAAATAATGACAGAGGTCTGTAATTGTCATCATAGGTACACTTCAACTGTGAGAGACAGAATGTGAAAAAAAATCCAGGAATTCACAGAGTAGGATTTTTAAAGAATTTATTTGTAAATTATGGTGGAAAATAAGTATTTGGCCACTTCAAACAAGGAAGATCTCTGGCTCTCACAGACCTATAACTTCTTCTTTAAGAAGCTCTTCTGTCCTGCGAGACCTGTATTAATGGCACCTGTTTGAACTCGTTATCTGTATAAAAGATAGCCCAAATGTAGCCCAAAATGATATTTCAACCACTGATAATCTCCCTCGATCTGGGGCTCCACGCAAGATCTCATCCCGTGGGGTCAAAATGATCATGAGAACGGTGATCAAAAATCCCAGAACCACACGGGGGACCTGGTGAATGACCTGCAGAGAGCTGGGACCAAAGTAACAAAGGTTACCATCAGTCACACACTACGACGACAGAAACCTCCTTCCATTGAGTTGAATTTCTATTATTGACCAAATACTTATTTTCCACATAATTTACAAATAAAAAATTTTAAAAATCCTACAATCCTACTTTTTTCACATTCTGTCTCTCACAGTTGAAGTGTACCTATGATGAAAATTACAGACCTCTGTCTTTATTTTAAGTGGGAGAACTTGCACAATTTGTGGCTGACTAAATACTTTTTTGCCCCACTGTATATATATAAAAAACGCTTTTTTGAACACTCAAAGACTCTTCATAAAGGCATCATTCACTCACTCTACATGTGCCCTGGGGCAAACTGATAAAAGTATGGCAAACTGGATGTGCCTTCGACTACCACCAATACACACCAGACTCACACTATGCAAGGTGGGAGTAAGTGTCTTGCCTAAGTCCAGAATGATAGTTCTGCAGCAGCCTCAATGTGACAACTGGTGTTCCCCGAGGTCTTCCATCACAGGTTCTGCCCAACTTAGCTTAGTTGCTAAGTCACATGCTTCTATCCAATCCATATTCTTCCACTTTACTTTTTCATGGGGGCAGTAGTTTTATACGAAACAGAAGCCTCCATCTGAATAGTATTTTGAACACTGAAATTCATGAATCCTTTCACACATGTATGACAGAGAATTAAGCAGACTTTAGTATACACAAACACCAGTGTATTTGGGGTGATCTCAGCCCAGTCGAGAGTCCTCCCCGGGGCCTGATTCCAGTGGGACATGCCCAGAACCTCCTCAGGAAGGCGTCCAAGAGGCATCCAGAACAGATACCCGAGCCACCTCAACTGGCTCCTCTTTGGTTGAGATTTTTGACACTGGTCACATTGTCATTGTGAAATAAACATCTGTATTGATTAGAAATAAAATACACTTTAAACCTATAATTGCTAATTTGTCTTGCATAATGATCCAAAAAAGCTTTAGACTTTCAACTTTGTTCATATTATCACTCAAGAATAGAGGATTCATCTTGTTTTTCTAAAAAGCTCATGTCTAGACGTGTTGTGTTCTCACCGGAGTGAAGTGGCGAAGGCGCGGCGGGCGTTGCGGTGCAGAAAGTGAATGGGAAAGCCTTTGAAGGTGTGTCCGTCAGGCACTGCCCTTCTCACGGCGTCCTGGAACTCCTCGTTTCCACAGGACACGCCCGTGCAGCGCTCCAACTCGTAGGCCGACAGTGCAGAGGACAGCAGGTAGGACAAGTGGTCGTCCCAAACTGTGGCCAGATCCAAGTCCTGCCAGAGCCAAGGAAAACAAATACAGAATTACCAAGACTTTCAGAAATAGGGAAGTAAGGAGCACTGCCAGGGAAAAGAGTAGGACAATCTTTCAAACGTTTTTAAAAGCAGGTGCTCAGATGGAGGGATGTGCACATGCTTTGAGAAACAGAACAAATATCCACTCTGGTTTTAGCAATAAAAAGGCTTACTAAAAAGCCTTAATAGCAACTGTCCATGTATTACTAACAAAATGCAATAACATACATTATTAAAAGAGAAAATGTTCATTGCAAACCTATGATTGCTGAATTCATAACGTATTTATTTGAAAGTCATTGCCACCAAATCGATGTCAATCACATGTGGTTTCACAAAGGAGGCGAATAAGAGCCCCCTGTCCCACATTTACAACACACTGGTGCTATTATAAAAGGCTTATTATAAAAGATTCTGATGTTGTTTTACTTATTGTATCCATTTCCTAAATGGTTTTAATATGGACAACTTCCTTTAGATTTGTTATAGCACAAACGGATTTGGTTTTGCTTGTGCAAAGTGGATCTTAATTTAGTTATGGAATGTAAATGTGTGAGGTGCACACCTTTCTGGGAGAGTTTGTTAGTTCAATGAACTGGGCTTAGCCATTGTAGACAAGTCCATTTAAAACTGGGTTGGTCTTTAGTTTCAGAAGAATTATGCAAGCTCATGAGTAAATATCAGATACAGTAGAAAGTAGACATTTCTTTGACTTTCAGCATGTACCTTCCTGTGCTCAGAGATTAGGTAGCGCAGCTCCAGCTCCAGCTGGTTACTGACAGCAGCTGGGTCCAGAGTGGGCGCGGTTAGAGGCGGGACGGGGGGCAAAGAGGTATTTGATCCAGGGGAACACACAGACTTCAGGGCATCGTCGCTCATTGCCTTCCACCGCGACTGATTCTGGAGGAGAAATGGTATTTAGTATAATGTGTGTTACAACATTGTGTGAAGGAACGTCTTTTATGAAAGAAAAATAATTATGCAGACACAATAAAGCCAACATTTGAAAATAACTTCATCTGAACTACTTCACAAATTCATGGAGAGACTGACTACACCCGTATCATGTTAACTAACAAGTATTAACATGCATTGTTCAAACCGTTTTCATTTAGGGCAAAAAGAAACAGTACAACACAATTACACAATTTTTTCAAGCACCAACAGTAACCTTAGAAACTGGTGAAGGTCATCTATCCAACACTCACAGACCCCTGATGATGACAGACCATAGTTCGGTCACAGGCCACTTCCATTTCCGCTCAAGGCTCAAAACCGCCCTCCGTTATAACCTCTAAATAACCCCTTTATTTTCTCCTAGGCTACCATGAAGGGCAATGACATCATTTCTTGGTACAACTAATATATCCACGTACTTGACCATGTAGATTAAAATTTGATGAGAGAACAATAGGTGGTTTATCCTTAGGCTCAACTTATACTTTGTACCTGAAAATCAAAGACGCAGAGCTCGACAGCGTCCGAGGGTTGACAGTTTGCTAAAAAGCTCTGGTGGTTGAAGACACAGCCCACAGTGCAATAGGGGTGAGACGGTTTAGGCTGCTGCACCAGAGGCGGGGCATCGGGGTCTATGGCCTGGTGAAGATATCTGCACAAAAACAGGTTGAATATTTCAGTTAACAAACACAGCATCCATTTATGTTTATCTTATTTCATTAATCGTTATTTGTCTGTTTTTTTCACCTGTGAGCAGTGAGGCTTTCCCAAAAGGTGACGCTTCCATCGGTGCCTCTGGTCAGGACCCATGTGTGTGGAACTCCTTTGGCCTTGGTCCCAACGCACACGTAAGCATCCATCCCAAAGCCCAGCAGCAGACTGCACAGGAGCGTGGCATGGTCCTCACAGTCTCCCTGCACAAACGGCATCCAAAAAGATTTTATAACACTGATTTGTTTTTAACCAATACATATAACACAAGTTTTAATGATGAAAAAAATAATGATAATTGAAATGAAGGCACTAAATCACAACATCTATGTGGTGTACTGAAAAATGGTAATCTATGTCTTAAGGCAGATGCAGCAATTAAAATACAGATACAGAAATAGCCAAGATATAACATTTTGTTTTAGATAATTGAGTATTCTAAAAAAAAGTTTGAGTGATACCGCTCGCTGGAGGACATTCTTGTAATATTTACGCATTTTTGATTTCATATTTTTGAAATTAGTTATCAGTTTGAATCTCAAAATCACATCTCACAGGACTCAAGAGTTGGAGTGTAAAAATAATTAACAATCGAACAAGTACTACAATAGCTGTCGATTATGAAAAAAAAAAAAATATTTGTGAAACATCAGCACAGCTCTACTACTATGAAAAACAAAACTGCCAACATTTACTTGCATATACGTTTACATGACAACCAGTTATTTTCTAGTTTCCAGTTTTCTCTTTTTAAACCCGCTTTGTTGCTCACGATATCTGCTTCTGTTGCCTTTGCACGAGTCTTTCTGGGAATAGTTTAGCACACGAGAAAGTCCACTCCTGCAACAGAACAGGAAATCCACCCTAGTCATCAGATTGCCCCTGACAGTAAGCACCTTCTATTTCATTCGCACAACTTCTTTCCAGTAAAGAGCCCCTCAACGAGCAGGGGGATATTGTACGCGTGCAGTTGTGTGCTGGCTGGAGCTATTCTGGCAAGTCAGAATGATAGATGTTCCCCAGAAGTGCTAAAATGGCCGCCGCGTTGGAGCAGGCTGGCGGACTGATGAGGCTAAATTAATTTTCCCCGGAATGAAAGTCGTAAATCACAACTGACAAGGGCCACTTTGTGAGAGAGCAGTGTTGTGTCTGTTTCCCCCGTTATATGGGCGTGAGGCAGGGGAAGGAACATTTATTCAGAAGAGGTGGTGGTCCGGGAAATGAGAAGAATAAACCACCTGACCTTAAAGAGATTTACAGAATAAACTAACAAATGCATTATTTTTTGTATTTCTTTGAAAAGCGGTCATTTTTAAAAGAACTATGATTATCAGTTTAGGAAGGTCTCTCTCGTTTTCTCAGCTGTTTTATTACCTTACAGAAGAAGTTTTACTGTCCAAACAAGTCAAGGTAATAATGTTGCCATCTGACATTTGTCTAGTATAGAAGTAAATAACTTACTTATATAAACAATATATTTTTAAAGGACAAAAACAATTCAGACTATTTTATTTGTCATGTCATGTTTTAGAAGGTGAAATAATACCTTAAATATAAAATATATTATGAAATAGTAACAAGGGTAAACCAGGCTTTATACGTGAAACGCCCTCTACTACCACTAGAGGGCTGCTGCAGATTTGGTTTAGTTTAGTTACAGTTCCAAAGGCAGCCGTTAGATATGAGATCTAAATAGTGAATCCATCTGAACTTCAGCAACAGACTGACTGAATTATTTCTGATAAGATATAGCAAAACACGTGTCTGTACGGGGGTCGTCACTGTTCTTCTTCGACCCAGTTCTCTTTGTGAGGATTTAGAAGGGATTGATTTTCTCCGGGGCTGCAACTCACTTTTGCCTGTGTGTGTCCCTGTGAAGACGGCCTGGGAGACGGAGAAGGAAATAGGAGGGGAGAATGCAAAGGGAAAGAGGAGTAACGCTTTGGTCTTTTGCAAGTATTATTAGGTTTAGAGGCAAAAACATTTGCCTTTTGTTCTGTGCAGACGCTTTAGACGCGAGTAGAGAATTGCATGAGCGCTCATTTGCTACACAAAGTCCTGGGGGGAAAAGACAATAAATCTACCTGCCTGGCACATTGAAGAAAAAATATGACGCATTTTACTGGCCCTAAGACATGATCTTGATAGTCTTGAGACTTGTCATGTTCTAATAAAAAAAAAAAAAATAATAATAATAATAAAAGAGTTTTCAGTTAAACACGAACAATGCATAAGGAAAGTATAGAATGGTGGTGAAGGAGGAGAAACAATGGACACCATGTTTAATGCAGTGCTAGAAAGCTTGGGGAACTATGGCATGGTCATCTGATTTGGTGCATTATCGGTGAAGAATAAATCCAAACTTCAGAAACTCATGAATGTTGCATTGAGAATCATTGTCTGTAAGACAAACGCTCACTGCAGGCTATTTTGAAGAAAGCACCCATAAGCTTGGGAGAAAAATCTCCAACCACTCAGAACATGCTTTGCACTCTGAATTTGATATTTTACCTTCGGGCACACGTTTTCGAGCCATAAAATACAAAAGCTGTATGTTAATCATGTCCCATTTTCAGATTGCTTTCAAGCACACTCATTTTGAATTATTTTAGTGTCCATGACTTATTCGTCAAGGATCATAAATTGTGACGACTTCTTTCGAAGTCTTGCCCTGAGGTTGAGTCTTTTTATTGGTGTGTGGACATGTTGACTTTTGCAGGAGTCTGATGCAACAATCAGGCTCTGTTGTTTCTTGCAGCCAATATAGCACTGTAGACCACGATAACTGTCCCCTTGGAGACAATAACATTCACCATTAGCATTTTTTGTTAATTTAATGTTATTTCACTGGAACAATTCCCAAAGCGCCAAACTGTGGTTGTGTCCTTAGGCAAGACACCTCACCCACGTCCACTTTTGTTAAGAGTGAGTGAATGATTAGGGGAAGGGGCTGATCACTGTTCTTACCTTTCCTCGACAGACAAAGGCCAGGAGCGTGCACCACTGCTCATGTTTGCCTGCTCCACTGCCCACCACAGGGGCCCTCTCGTGGGCCAGCAGGCTGACGAAGCGGGCCGCCTGTCTGGGGTTCTCCAAAAGTCGTCCCGCCCGGAGCACACGGACGTAAGAACACACCGGTCTGTTCACACCGTTTTCGTCCTACAGTCATTACGGGTTAGAGGAATAGACAAAATGGACAGGGAAAAGCCAGTTTTAAAAGAGATTTAGTACACAAAATAGTTGTTAGCAACAGTATAATATTATGCTTAAGATTTTGTTTCAAATTCATGATCGTCATGCCTCAATTCTCGGACCATAAAATTATGAATATGTAATATAAATACAATGTGTTCATGCTGTCCAAAACATCCACAAGATACAGCACACCTTTCCTATTAGTAAATCCCAAATATCACAATTATTGAAGTAATAAACAACAAATCCCCCTGTATCATATATTAAACTATTAAGATATTACTTATATTATATATATATAATTATAAGTGTATAACTTTACTAACATGTATATATTATTCGCATAAACAATAAATTTACATAACATTCTAAATCTAAATCATAATCAAAATGTTTATTTAAAGAATGAAAAAAGATCTTTGGATTTTTAAAGTCAGTTTCTACTTTTGAGCCATGTTGCAACATTGCTAATGAAAAAATGTCCAAAAATAAAAATATGCCAAACCTGTGCAAAGATCTTGACCATTTTGGACTGGTGTGTAGGACGTATCTCCAGAAACTCTCTCCACCACTGCTTTGCATACATTAAAAACAGTCTTTCTTTTTCTGCAGTCCTTTGTCTTTCTAGAGATTGCTAAATGAGAAAGCAAAGATGTTGATTGTGCTTCAACATCTAAATATTAGTTTCTTTCACAACTCACTTGTGTGGAGATTATGTCTGGGCTGATGTTCTGTGTCAGAGGAGGGTAGAGCTCAATACCCAAAGTCAAAATACCTGCTGGAACTTTACATTCACTTCCTAAAGAATTCACAAATTAAACATTCTGTGACTTCATTACAAGATACAGTAACCTTACAGGATGAAAACATAATTAGCTCTGTCTGCAAACAAAGTTCCTCACGAATAAATTAAATAGTCTGAATTTAATTCAAATAAACCTACTCAAAGTGCGAAAGCTCTAAGCTGATAGAATATTTATCTTGCTGCGGTGGAAAGCTAGTGATTACATTAAATATTTGAATATACAGTAATTATGTTCTATCGTTCACAATTAAATTATTCACTTTTGTGAGCAGTAAAACATAAATTAGTGATACTGGATATATCAGTTGAATTCTTACCAACGCCCATCATCTCCACTGCAATGCACATTTTGCCACTGGTTGAACTAAGAATAGTCCTCCAGTCGAGAAAATGTGATGAGACCAGTGTGGTTTCACTAGAGGTGTCGGTCTTTATCAACACCAAATGAATAGGGTCACAGATGGACAGCATTGTTGTTCCATCTGCCATTCTACCGCCTTCTCCTAGAAAAAAGATTGTAAAGAATGACGAGGTTTCTTAATGTGGCTTGCTTTCTTCAGACGTGAATCGTTACCGAGGTCATCTTTGTGGACATCAAGGAGATAACCCTCATTTATGTCCGGTTCACAAGCACAGGGCACTGGCTTGGAGCGAAATCTCTGATTGCGGAAATGCAGGTGCAGCGTAAAGGTGGAGCACACCTGCCCAGGTAATGGTTCTGGTTCCTGAAGATGCTCCAGAAAGGCCTTTCCCCCTTGTATTTGGAGGAACAGCTGACGTCTGCATGGATCAATGTTTGCTATAGAATCAGAAAATAATCTTTATTTAGAATAAGGAGAAAGTGTTTGTTGTTGGGTGGTGCTAAACAACAATATAAACATATAATCATACAAATAACAACAATAATCCTGACAATGGATTGAAATTCATTACCTTTCCTTGGCCTCATCTCATCGTGGTTAAATAAGTATGTAGCTGGCATTGATGGAGAATGTGCGTCCACTTCTGCTGCCCTTTGCTGCAACAAGAAGCAGGAAGATTTACAGAAAAACACAAACAACTTCACAAAAATAGAAACAAAAGTTAGCATTAAATGATCAGATCACCTGAGATAAATGCAGGTCTTTCATCACACTGTCAACGATGCCTCGGCGTTGTAAAGCAAGGAGAAAGTCCCCCTCTGATAGTGGATTTGACTTACAAGTATCATCTCTCACAGTCTCTGCGACGACCTCTCGGATCTTTCCTTGAATATTAATCTGTAAAAGACACATAGAGTAAGTTTTAATGAAACAATACAACGTCACCTAGATTCTTCCTACACAGAAAATGTAACAATGGCAATGTAACATCACCAAGTTATATACAGCTGAAGCTAATCCAAATTTGGGAAGTGTAACGACACACTCATACAAACTGCTCATAACTGACCTTTAACAGATGGTTGTGAATGATTTGCTTCAGTTCAGGGGCTTTCACTGCGGGTAGTGTCATGACAGCAACGCAAAGCTAGGTTAGCTGTAGAAAGTAAACTAGAACCGATTAGACTTGACGGTCGACCATAGACAGGCTTGTCAAGGGAAATCCTCCAAATCAAACCATTAAAAACTTACGAGACCTATCCAGCGTCTAATGCAGGGTGTATGGCATCAAATAGTAAACATAAATGGTGGGTACAGCTGTTCAATGTACTCGTTCAAAATAAGAAAACAACAACAGTTTAAACAGTGGCGGAGCAGGAAGCGGGAGCGCGTTACGTCACAGTTACGTCACAGTCTATGCGACATCCACAGTCTACTCTGTGCCTGTTCCAAATTAATAGTACAAACAAACTAAAAGCAATGCTGAAGAACCAATGTCCAAAATTCTGGTTCTATTATACTAACACAATATCTGTAATTTAGTTTAATGTGTGTTTGCGTGGGATTTAGTTTAATGTGTGTTTGAGTGTGATGTACAAAACAGGTTAATTGTGCATATTTTAGGACACCTACAGGTCTTGAGGGGAAAACTGTAAACTTCAACTGAAGGACCTACTTGTAGTTCTAGTCGAGAGTACAGAACAGTGGTTCTTTGCTCAGCTTTCAGCACATCTTATAGACCATCTACAATCTGTCCGCAATTAAAATATAAATCTGGAAGCAGCTTCCTTAAAATGTGAGACATGGTCCTGCACTGATATGTCAACTCCAGGTTAAAAACAGTTAGCTGTACATAACTGAAAGATGATTTATACTTCATAACTTTTTCATTCTTGTTGTTTTGTAAAGCACTTTGGCTTTTTTTGGTTATAAGTCAATAAATCAATCAAATTTTATTTATAAAGCGCTTTTCATACATAAGATGCAACACAAAGTGCTTTACAGTTTGGTTAAAAACAATCCCGCCGACCCAAGACCCCTCCCCCAAACCACCCAACAGACCCTACCCCAAACCACAGACAAACACACACACACACGCGCTCATGAACACACACACACACACACACACACACACACCACACACACACACACACACACACACACACACACACACACACCAGTAAAACAATAAAAACATGATGAGAGACTTGGCAGGGTTCAGATGCAACCAGCTGAAAAAGCGTCATCCAAGGAGCCGTCTGCACCAGGAGCAGAGAGCCGCCCGTAGCCACAGGGGACGACACAGGACCCAGAGGAGACATGAAACCGAGGCCCCAGGCCCCCACCAGGTCCAAGAGTCCGACCCCCGCAGCCACACCGACCACTGCTCCCGGTGCAGAGGGCTCCTCCAGAGGAAACACTGGGTACACTAAAAACAATACAATAAGTAAAACACTAAAATGTGAGACTAAAAGGAACACACAATACATGAATAATAGCAATAGCAATATAAATAAATAATAAAAGATAAATAGAATGGAATAATAAAAACTAATCAAAAGCTACTCTAAAAAGGTGCGTCTTGAGCCTACTTTTAAAAATATGAACGTTCTCTGCGGCCCTGAGCTCCTCCTCAGACTGTTCCAGAGACGGGGGCCTTAGTGCTGGAAAGATGCCTCACCGTGAGTGTGTGTCCTGACTTTGGGGATGGTTAGGAGTCTGCTGCCGGAGGAGCGCAGGGGCCGGGAAGGTTCATAGGATAAAAGCAAATCTGAAAGATAAGAAGGCCCAAGACCATTAAGACATTTAAAAACCATTAAAAGAACCTTAAAATCGATTCTGAAACACACGGGGAGCCAATGCAGCGATTTTAAAACCGGTGTAATGTGGTCCCGCCCCCTGGTCTTAGTCAGGACACGTGCGGCCGAGTTTTGGAGTAATTGAAGACTTGCAATGTTCTTTTTGGGAAGACCAGAGAGCAGGGCATTACAGTAGTCAATGCGACTGGTGATAAGCATGCATCAGCGTCTCCGTGTTGCCCCGAGAGAGAATGGGGCGGACTCTGGCGATGTTCTTTAGATGATAAAAACCTATTTTTGTGATACTCTTGATGTGAGGAATAAAAGTCAGCTCAGAGTCAAAGATTACGCCCAGATTTTTCACTTGTGATGATGGATTAAAAGAGTGTGATTGGAGTTTTGATAAAAGTTTCTCTCTCTGGGCCTCAGGACCGATGACTAAAACCTCAGTTTTGTCCTGGTTAAGCTGGAGAAAGTTTTCTGCCATCCAGGATTTCAGGTCTAAAATGCCGTTAAAAAGAGCATCCATTGGCCTGGTGTCATCAGGAGACATGGAGATGTACAGCTGTGTATCATCTGCATAACTGTGGAAGTTAATTCCATGTCTCCTGATGACACCGCCAAGAGGGAGCATGTACAGGTTAGTACAAGTGATGTGTATATAGCTTTTGATTGACACATGCAAATTGACCCAATTCAATTAGACATCATTGATGTATAGTTAAGCTGCATTAAACAACTTTCCATGGTGGAGCTTATACTTTTGACTCGGGTCCATCTATATTCTGCGATTATGTCTCCCAAAATTGACTGGATATGTCTGGAAAATGACCGGAGAAAGATTAACTGAAAGAGACAATTTAACTGAAATCTAGATTTTGTTTTGTAAGTCTTTATTTTGATATTTTATTTCCAGGTGTTTGATGGTCATATTTTTGCATTTGGCTGGAAAAGAAAAATAAGCATGTTTGTTTACAAAAGATTTAAGGTTTATTGACGCTGTCCCAAAACACCATGTTATATCACATTGTTTTAAATGCAAGTTTATTAAGCCTTAAAACCCCCAAATGAGTGGTATTATATGGTTAAACATTTTATTGAAGCCTAGACAAGGTAGTCATCTTTCTATAGTCATCCAGTGCTTGCAAGACCTTTCATGTACATTCGACATTTTTAGTTAGCCAAGTACGCCAATGCAGTCACATTTTAATATCAGAAATGCAACATCTTCACCTCTTAAGGACCACACATTTCATTTCTGTCACTTAAAAGGCACAGTAAAATCTTCAAAAAAGGAAAATGGTGCACATTTTTTATGCTTAAACAGGGACCTACACAAAAAGTTTTCAAAAATTGGTGAATACAATTGGGACAATATTCACACTGTGAAACATGTGTAAGTGAAAGCTTCAGTAAATACATTCCTCAAGGTGAAATGTTCTTTAACAAACAAAAATCTAATCTCCTTTGGTTTTGAGAACAAAGAGTGGGATCACCTGATGATACACACAAACAAACCCAGCCAGTGGGTAAATACACACAGGGTGAGACTGTTCAAAATTTAATGTTTTCATATCAGCAGAGTAAAATATAAATCAAGGCTGTTCCCTATGAAATATTCAATCACACAAAAATATATTTCTCTGGTCATAACACAAAAAACATAATGGAAGAATAAAATTAAAATCATGCAAACAAGTATTGAACAAAGTAAACATCAAGGGTAAAGTATGCGAGTCATCAAATTGTAAATCTGCTCCCAAGCCTTAAAAAAACATTTATCAGTAAGGCTGCACCGAACAAGTCAGAGAGATCTACTTGACTTTTACTTTAGATTAATTGAGCAATATTAAAATCTTGAAAACCATATTAAGCAAGTTTTAATAAAAAGTATGATTCATAGATAAAACAAATGAAGAGTTGGCTTTCTAATCTTAATTGTAAAATTATTAAGTTACTTCCCGTGCAGTGTGGGCACCACACAAACTTCTCTGTGTGTAACAAGTGCCACAATTAGTAGTAGTAGTAGTAATCTTTATTTATATACCGCCTTTTCACTGCACATCGGAGTCTCAAAGCGGTTTACAATTGTTATTTTTGGGAGTGGGCGTGCCAGTACAGGAGGCCCATGCCAGACATATTGTACATATTTTTAGTGGTAGGGGAAACCGGAGCACCCGGAGGAAACCTACGCAGACACGGGGAGAACATGCAAACTCCACTCAGAAAGGCCCTGGTCCAACCGGGATTCGAACCCAGGACCTTCTTGCTGAGAGGCGAGAGTGCTATCCACTCAGCCACCGTGCCGCCCAAATTTTTTTTGGGCGGCACGGAAAAGTTTTTTCCTACTTTCTTTCTACTAATAATTTGAAAAACTCGTTTAAATTGTTTCAGCCCTACAGTACATTATTTAACAGTGACCTTAAAAGAGGATAAAACAAAATCATCGTGCTGGCACAAAGATCCTGAGAGGTTTTTATTCTTTAGATCTTACAATAAAAATATACATGTAATCACTGGATGTAGCCCATCCGCATTTTAACCTCAAGAAATAAATACCCTTGCACATGTTACCACGAAAATCTATGAAAGTAAGTACCCAAAATAAGGTACAGGTGCAATTTTAGAGTCCGTTTTAAGTAGTAGGCATCTCAGTGGGAGTAGATCCAGCAAACCAGCAGACCCACTGCCACCGCGACCCCTGCCCCGACATTCAGAAGGATGGGCCTCCAATAAGACCAGCTCTCTTTCTGCTTCTCTGAATCGGTCAGTCTCTGTTTCATTTGCTGGACTTTCTGTGCAGTGCCGGCAATACGCTCCTCTCGCTGTCGTTTCCGTAGGCTATGAAAAGAGGAACAGTGATTATTGTAAAAGAATATTCATCAGTCAGTTGTAAGTAAACCAAAGCAGGCCAAGAGCGGTAACTAAAGACACATGCCGCCTATCCCTGGTTCAGATCTTTCTCCAGAAGAGAGTTAAATTGTGAAAAAAAAACAAATAGTCTGCCTTTTCAGTCCCATGATTGGTGTGCCTCAATTTGCAATTATAAAAGTACTAATGCGCAGTTCCTATTGCGCATCATAAAAGGTCAGTTTTAATTCAAGAAGAACTACATAGGAAAGGAGGCAATTTTTAACAATTTGCATTTAGACCATGGAAATGGAGGAAATGGAGACCACAGCGTGAGGATTACACGAGAAATACAAACTATGCGGAACAGACACAGAAAAATAATAACAGCTGCCTGCATATTGTCTCCATCAGCGACAGCGTGAACAAGGACCCAGAATGGTAAGTTTATATATTTCATATGCACCAAGTCTGTAATTCTCCAGGCAACAACATGAGAGCCAGGAGCAGAGATCAACTGGGAGTTCAGCCAACTACAGCTCCACTACTGAAACCTGTGGTGTGCAACCAGAGATGTAACACATGCACTGTCCATGTAGGCTTAAATAACCATCCATCCATTTTCTTCCCCTTAATCCATTTCTGGGTCGGGGGGGTGGCAGTCAGAGCTGCACCCAGTACACTCAGCACCAGCCCCTCACTGATCCTCCTGCAGGTGGTGAGTCCACAGGAGCTGAGATCTTTCAGTGGGGGCTTCAGGCAAAGTGGGGTTAAGTGTCTTGCCCAAGGACACAACGACAGCAGTCATCAGCGAGAGTCGTGAAGTAGGTCTTACGGTGGGCTCGAACCCACGACCTTCAGGCCCAAAGGCCAATGCTCTACCAACTGAGCTACTGTTAAATAATCAAAGTGTATAATACTGACAGCTAAATAACACTAAGTCCTTTGTTATGTTCTACACACTATTCATTCTTTATTAACTCCACTGACAGGTTGAGAAATACGGCTTGACCATTTCCATTTGTTTTAAGGGCACTTGGTAGATGGGCTTGTTCACACTAAAGGGCACAAAAGTGTGACAAAAGGCCAAAAATTAGATTTTAATAATCAGAAGATATTTTATGTTTTTCATGTTTCCAAGCACCTCCTCTGTCCTATAGAAGTTGCTAGAACATAACTGTTTTATACTTTAGACAAGTTTCCTATAGCAGCCCTGTTTATTTTATGTAACGGACGTGATGATTTGACGGAATGAGCTTTGTGGAAGTTTGATAGGTATTTTCAGATGTCCACATTTGATTCAGAGATTCTATTTTTTTACACAAAGTAGATGCAAAGTGATACTTTCATATCGGCAACCAATTAAATGTGAAAACAGACCAGAATTTTTTTTTTCTCAAGGGTCATTTTTCAGGGGTCATTTCATTTTTATAATCAAGTGATTTACTTATGTTGTGTTAACCATGTAAATCTTGTGGGATTTCATCTTCTGCTTTTTCAGACTGAGGACATTTTATTTTCTATGTAACTGGCGTCACAGTAGAATGGTCCAATCAGAGGCTAATTCGGTCGTTTAAAATGTTGCTAAACATTTTTATGTCAATCTTTCCTTTTGATTTTTTCCACACTATCTCTTCAATGTGTCTGTGTTTGAAATCTTTTTTCCAATCTATGAAACTAATTTTAGTTTTTAAGTTATAACCTTTTAAAGTCCAGATACTTCAATTGTTACTTTACTGTGAACACACTCAGATAGGTCAGGACACAGTCTATAGCAGGGGTGGGCAACTATTTTTTACAGAAGAATTTTAACTCATATTTACATAATATTAGTTGAAAGACCTTTCGCCCAGCATTTTTTCCAGGTCTATACACTAGTCTGCATGTTAGTAAGTAAGTTAGTAAGTTTTTATTTATATACCGCCTTTTCACTGCAGATCTGAGTCTCAAAGCGGTTTACAATTGTTAATTTTGGGCATTTGTCTCTCACTCCACACAGAGATGGGAGCAGGGTCGCCAGTACAGGAGGCGCATGCCAGAACTATTGGACATATTTTTAGTGGTAGGGGAAACCGGAGTACCCGGAGGAAACCTACGCAGACACGGGGAGAACATGCAAACTCCACTCAGAAAGGCCCTGGTCCGACCGGGATTCGAACCCAGGACCTTCTTGCTGAGAGGCGAGAGTGCTATCCACTCAGCCACCGTGCCGCCGTATCCACTCAGCCACCGTGTTGTGTTGTAAATAATTCAACTCCACTCATCAAGATGAAGTGAGGAGCCCTCATCTACATGTAAACTGAGTTGTGTTTAATATCAATATAATTCCAACAAATATTTTTTACAAATTGGACAGCGTATACAGTAATTAAGCACTTACTGTCCAGAGTTGTCGATTATGCTGTTGTCTTGATTTGGTGGCTCTTCTTTAGTTCCGTCATCTTCCTGGTTTGTCTGTGCCTTTGCACAGGTCCCAGGCTGGCCATTGGACTTGCCTTCTTTCAATGTGTGGTGAGGTCTGGGTGGCGGAGGTGGAGGGGAAAACTCTGGCTCCAAGTAGTCATCAGTGGAAACAACATTTTGTTTCTGTGGAGAAAACCGTGTCAACAAAATCTACAAAGAAACTACCGGTGCCCTGTATTATTTAAGAGAAACAAAGTCTACATATACAGTACATAAAGCATTTCACTTCAAGGTAGGAGTGTGACGATACATTGATATGATGATGTATCGTGATAGTTTCTCACACGATCGATATCAAAATGCTTTTGCCAAAGTATCGATTTAAAAAAAGAAAAAAAAAAGATTAGATTAGTATCAATACTTAATATATGGCTACATTATGCATCTCCATTCCATTTATCATGAAATGAAGTGAATTTTTTCACTTACATTTTTTCTTTTATTTATGCCATAAATAATTGTAGGTATATTTCTGACCAATATATCGATAACCATCATATCGTGATATAATCGTTATTGTGAGCTTTGTATCGCGTATCGTATGGTGAGGTACCCTGAGGTTCCCACCCTTACTTCAAGGTAATAGGGCTTTGTTGAAAATGGCAATATAGAAAGAAAGAACGAAAATCTACTTCTGATTATTGTTGGCTTTCTACAGTAAGCTTTTTTGCTTTTTTAACCCCATCACCTTTCTAAAACCTGGTTTTAGGACTAGCATGCATCAATAAGATTGATTTGGGAAGCATCGGCTCTTGTCTCTCTGCGTCAGTTAGATTCTTGCGTTGGGTCGTTTTTAGATCGCCAATATGCACCTGCTCAGCTTAGTGTCCGTTTGTTATGGCCACATGTTTTATCTCGGATGTTTATTGTTCACTGAGGGTCTATTCTACGATCTGATTGGCCCTGGCTCTGTCGTGTTCATGGGGCGGGGCGAGTAGAGAAGGAAACTTTCTCTCACTCAGTCAGTATAGACTAGCGGGGTCACCAGCTCTCTGCCCGGGGGCTCACGGACCCGCAAGGACCACGACAGGCGTCCGCGAAGCATGATCTATGAATAATATTGGTCCTGGAGTCTGGACCACATCTTTTATTGCCACCCATCCACTCAGCAGTTGGCGTTTACGAAAGAACAGAGACATGCAGTCTATGCAACAGATGAGTCTAAGCTGTTTTGATCTTTAAAGCGTCGAAAAAAACGAGTCCGTAGTCAGAGAGATATGAGCCGCTCAAGAGTCCTGTTTGTGAGTGAGGCAGACATTTGTCAACGGGCCGGAAAATATGTGCCCAAAGAGCTGCGATGCATTTCAATCATTTTTTTAAACGGCAAGAATGCTGCCCTTCACTCAATTTTAATAAATAAAGCTGTAATCGGAGCCGGGACTGAGCCGGGACTGAGCCGGGACTGAGCCGGGACTGAGCCGGGACTGAGCCGGGACTGAACTAAGGAGGCTTATGCCTCCTTTACCATATTAAAACACTGGCAGAGTATGAACAAGCTGATCTAGAATGAGGCCAAAAAAAACTGCACATGTGGAAAGTGACAGAACTGCACTGTTTTAGAGTCAGGAACTATAGTGACATAAATTGTATTACAAACCAAAAGCTAATCAAACTAAACCCTTTTGTAAGTATTTTCTAGAAAACTCGAGAATAGGAGTGAATAGCATTGTAACGCTGACAGGGGTGAATCGTATGGTATCGTGATCAAGTATTGAGATAGGTATAAAATTGGCCTCTGAGGTCAAGATACCCTTCCCTAATGAGCAGCTGACCTCCTCTCACATACTGATTCATAGTGCAATGTTTGGGATGAATGAAGAAAGAAACCGAGGCATATAGAGCACACATGGGTCGAATGAAGAAGCACAGTAACGTGCATGAAAACACCCTAAGATTGCTCTTTCCACTCCATTTGACTAAACAAACTTCTATTAACAAATAATTACCAGAGAGAGGAAGTCTTGAAGAATAAGTTTTGCTCCCTCTATGACAGCCATGTAGGAAAAGCGGAGCTGGTCTGCAGTTTGGATTAGGCCCATACGGTATTCTCTCATGTCTAGCAACACCTTTTGAATGTCCACCGATGAGGGATCCGGTCTCTCACTCATCTGAAAGCATATAATCGTGTTCAGGTTAACAATACAGTAGGGCTAAGAAGAGAACTTAAAGCACATTAGATTTCAAAATGGAGGATCATCTTCTCTGTAAGCACAGGCGCACACACCCAAGAAGAAAAGATAAGATACAAAATAGTTTTCACCTTTACTAAAATGAAATATATCCATTATCAGAGTAAATCTGTTCCATGTATAGGAACCAATCATTTTTTCTTTTTAATCAATGTTGACTAGAGATTTATCTGTCAATGTGTGTGACCATAAATGACCATATAAAAAGTGTATAAAAAAAGATTATAAAATATGCATCTTGCAACACCCAATTTGGGAACCTGAGAGCTAGGGCAGGGAAGTCAAAGTCAAATACATCAGAGGCCAAAAATAAATTTGCTAAAAGTCAAGGACCGGACTGGTTCAATGTCTAATAAAACATATTAAAATGATTGCATATAACCTATTGAACCAATACCTAATAAAAGTGGTACTGCAACCTCTCCCACAGACGAATCCAGCTGGGACCATATTAGCTGAATATACAAGAGTTCTGTCAACAACAAATCGATAACCAACACCTTTTTTCACAAAGATAGAAATCCTAATTTTATCCCTTGTTTTATTATTAATGATTTGAGTATCATAACACGACCTTTTTAGTTCTGCGGCCACATGATACTTTACCAGTGAACTGCTTTAAAGAGTCGACCATCATTCCAGTTCCTAAAAAAACTCCTGTGACATGCCTTAATGACTATCGTCCTGTGGCTCTCACGTCTGTTCTTATGAAAACTTTTGAGCGGCTTGTGCTGGACTTCATTAAGAGCCAGATCCCTGTGAGTGTTGACCCGCTCCAGTTTGCTTACAGACAGAACAGGAGTGTGGAGGATGCCATCTCCTTTGCTCTGAACTCTTACTAGTGTCCAAGTGACTGTAGACAATCTGTCGCGAGAATGCTTTTCATCGATTACAGCTCTGCTTTTAACTGCCTTGTCCCAGGTAAACTGATTGAAAAGCTCATGTCTCTCGGTTTAAGTGTTGCTATGTGTAAATGGATTTTTACATATTTTTACATATATTACATATTGCTACTTTCAATTTCGAAAAAAATAGTATCCAGCGTTAGCATCCCTGATGCTAACAAGGTTGCTTTGGTCACATGACACGAACAAGTCTTTGCTCATTGCTCTTTAAATGAGATGCTCTCATACCTGGCAAGATCCCACAAACTCGTCGGCTAATCAGCTGAAATTGGCTCAGTGCCCAGACTTTTCTGCAAGCCTTTTGTAACTAACAAGTCACAACTTATTCCTAGCATAGAAATACAATATCATCTATATATATTTCAAATCTTACGCAAGATTTGAATTTTCTCTTTCTAAAAGTTCCCCACCCTTTTCTCACCAAGACAAGACAGGTATCCACCAAAGCGAAGGTTCCTGACCGTCCAATCCCAGCACTGCAATGCACAACAGAAGGCCCATGCTGGGGACCCAGCGATCCAGACTGTCTAACTAGGAGGAGGAAGTCCAGGAAGGAACGTGGAGACTCAGGCACTCCAAAATCAGGCCACGAGGTGTAATGAAAGTGGTAGATATCCCTGGATTCTCCTGTCTGTGAGAAACAATTAAGAATGTCACAAAATCTGACAAGAGAACGACAATCTCGCACTGGGGCAGAACAGAATGGGACTCCCCTCCAGGGCTCATAGAACTGTAGTTAATCAGGCAAGTTTCAGTTTAGTCTGACTAATGAGAGAAAGGTTTACAATGGACATAACTGATTTCAAACAAATGTGATCCTTATCCACTTTTGACCTTTACATGCACAATTATCTGTGCTCACCTTTGTGTTTTGCAACTCCAGCACTCTGATTGTGTAGCAAGTTTGGACTTCCTCAGAGGTCAAGTGGATGACAAATCCTGTATCTGGGAAAGGCATCTCTTTGTCTTTTCGGCTTGGCCAATATTGCGCACACTTTTCCTGTAAAACAAACAAGTGGGAACCATGATTAATTACTTTACACTAAACTGGCATTATGTAGGATTGTAGAATTTCCCATTTCAACACAACATATCCATACACATTTCTAATTCACGTTGACAGCCAAATTCAATTATAAATAAAACAGAGACTAACCGTTCCCTTTTCAATTAATCTGTTGAGCATTATGACCGCCTTTGTACACTGCTCCCAGATCATCAGCCAAAAATGACCACATGTGTTCCTCAAAGGACCCTGAAGAGTTAAATTTAGAAAAAAACACACTAATCTCATTAGTTTTCAATGGTTGGACACTTGAGTAAATGTTTATTCCAAAAATACAATCAGTACCTGACAAAGAATATATGATCTTTGCGCTTCTTTCATGGTGACCAAACTTGCATTGATGTAATCATTTTCTGAATTTTCAAGTTTCACCCGACTGTGGTCATCTGTACAAAATAAAACAGATTACAAGATGAGAGCAAGTTCCAACACTACTGTAGCACAGTAGGAGCAGCACAACTCATCATTGAACTCACATGGGCTCACATCTCTGTAGCGGTTCAAATTTCGATTCACAGGAAATTTGGCCACTTTATAAGGATATTCGTTGGCTTGGTTACGAATTTCCTGTGAATAGATAACAAAGTATAACTTCAAGTTAGAGATAATGGAGAGGTGACCTGCACAGCTGATTACAAAAAACCCAAAGACAACATAAAAGATACACATACACTTAATTGGGACCACAAATCATGATGCAGACAAACAATTGTCTGCATAACTATCTCGGACCGAAATGAAAAATGGACCCACATTTTACGTAATTGAGTCATTTGAAGTCTTGCAAAATAACGTCATTTACCGATATTTTATAGATATTCCGAGTTTTTGAGTCATTGGTAGTTACTGCCTCCACTCAGCCACCAAGTCTTTGTGGTCAAACCTTAGTTTGCAGGAATCAATTGCTGTATTACAATTCGGGAATAATTGGATAATTGATAACGGTAGTTTGTAGTCACATATCATGCTATCTCAAAGCGATCTACTCATCCAGTTTATCAGTCATTTGAGCCAAAATCTATTTATCTACAATTAATGCCGGATATCATTATTTGTTTGACGAACGTTTCAAGCTACAACCAAAAATTAAACTCAACGATATTGTAGTAAAACCATAAAGAGTAGATAATAGAGTAAAACTGTTAGACAACTAAAAACACGGCGTGAACCATTCATTGAATGCTTATAACATTTGGAAATAAGAGCCAACAGTATTTGTATTGGTGTAACGGGCATCATTACATTAAGGCTATAGTTGAGTCAAGGGTTACGACCATAGACTGTATATATTAAACAACACAGGGTTTGTCCACATTAGCTTGTTAAACAAAATATAATCTGTGGTTTTACAGGAAGATATATAAACAGCCAGGTAACTGATGCTAGAACATATGCGATTTTCTCAGGAAGTCCTGACGAGTTCTCAGAAACTACGGCTGACGTCTGTTAGCGTCAGACTGCATTAAGCCAAGAGCCAGAGCTAACGCTAGCTCTCTGTTCGCAGAGTCCCGGCTTCTAATCTCTTTCGATCAATCTTTCTTCAGTCCTTTTTTTTACTTTTGTGACATTTTTTGATAATGTGTATGTAAGACACTGGGGAGGCCTATGCTTGATAATATCCATGTGCATACTTTGTTGCCTTTAACTTTAATAATAATAATAATATATAGCTAGTGGTAAAACGATAGCTAACGTTAGCGTTAACTGCACCAGTCTCTACGGAAGTCGGCAACCAACGCCAAGATATGAGCACAGGCCGCAGGGTTCGCACCAAGAACACCTACATGTACTGGAACACAGTTATAAATGTTATAGCTGGGTTGAATGTGAAACTAGATTTCAAAAATCCTCATAGCTGACAGTTAGCCATTTTACCGGTGGCTAAGTCTGTTAGCATCCTATCGTCATAGAAACAGTTCCCTACTTACATTGTAAAGGTTATGCCATCTCCCGGATGAGTCAATCTCTTCAAACTCCTGCTCCATTGTGTTTTTTAACTGTGCCTGCACACAGCCAATGGTGCACAGGGTGTTTAGAGCCGCTTTCCGTGAGTTTAGTCCGCTCCGTAAGCCATCAAAGTTATTGCAGACAGTGTGGGTCTATGCCGTCTATGCACAGCCTGGAGATCCCAGCGGGAGGCAGTCTGCTCGAGTCTGCTCCGCTCAGCTCACACGAGGAGAGGCTACCAGTCACGTGATTGCTTCTTTTCCGACAAAACAGTTGATGGTAGTAATAATAATAATAATAATACAGGCAATGGGGTTTTAATTTGATAATGTATACATCCGTGACTAGTATTATTAATAATAGCTGGCATTATTTATATTGTTTATAACAATGCCTTCATTTAGTGGTATTACGATAGAAGTCAATACACATTTGAGGTAAAAATATACGTTGGACATCACTAAATGTAGGTTATTTACGTTAATATAATAGATCCATGGTTATTTACTGTCTACGAAAACCATGATGAAAACCAATACCACTTCGCCCCCGTGTGGCTATCTGCAATAGTGCACACATTGCACACAAGACCCGCCAAAGCATTCACTCGCACACCACGATAGGCCTACTCCTCATTGTAGCACTGTGGGTCTCTAATAATGTTTGTAGCAAAGAGCATTGCGGCGGACCACAAGGATTTAATTCATGATGTTTCGTACGACTTCCATGGGAGAAGGATGGCGACGTGCTCGAGTGATCAGAGTGTCAAGGTTGTTAATCATTTTGTGCTGTAGGTTAAATGTTAGCAAAAGGTTGCTAGTTAGCATAACAAAAACACGAGACTTGTTTAGTTTTTTTAATTTAGTTTTTTAATTGATAATTTTAATGTACATTTAATCTATAGTTACCAACTCAAGCCACTGATTACTTTATATTGATACAAACTATTGTTGTAAGCTGTAGTTGCTTAGCTGGTAAAGAAATCTCGTGATCAACTCATGGTAGCTTTTTCATTCAAGTGAGGAAGGCATCAGTCTGCAAATATTTGGGTTTTAACTTAAGTATTTCTGCCTTATGTGTTGCAGGTGTGGGATAAAAGTGAGAATGGAGAATGGAACTGCACTGCAAGCTGGAAGGTAGTATCTATTCTGCCCTTATACGGATTTCTAATCTCTGCTGCTATTTTGATGTTATCATGCATGTTGAATTTAAATTATTATCAAACAATTAGTAATTGCTGACAAAGCAGTAGCTATGTGGCAAAAGCTACTGCTAGGCTTGAGTGACTGGGCTGAGCGAGTTTATGAAACCGGTACAAACATTGGTCAGGTTAGTGACATGTAGACTGGAGTACCCTAACTTTGTTCCAACAGAAAACGTATTTTTTAAGAATAATTTGGTAAATAAATCATACCACAAAATTCTGACTTTCCTATTAGAACAATTTTTGATTGGCTACTGATAGAACCAAATACTAAAACGTACTTATTTGTTGTGTTTTCTAAGTCATGTACTCCAGCTTTAATGATCATGACTTATGGAACCAACTTTTGGTCAATATGTGGGATAGGTATGGGTTCTGGTGAATGCATTGATATGGTTTGGGTAAGGAAAAGTTTGTTGACTGGTGGTATTAAGACAATATTAATTTACAATAAGTTGTAGTAATAGCATGGAATCTAGGGCTGCAACAACGAATCGATAATATCGATAAAATTCGATTATTAAAAGCGTTGGAAACGAATTTAGTTATCGATTCGTTGTGTCGCGCGATTAATACCAATTAATGCCAAATCCCGAGCGCGCGAGTTGGGCGCATTCTTTTATGATTGAGCGGACGGACGCACATATGCACCACAGAACTATACAACACTGCATGCACACTGCCGTAAAACTCCACAGAAGAAGAGCAGAAGAAGTGAGGCGAAGGTGGTCATTTTTAATACAGTCTATGGTGGAGGCATTCATTCGAGCAAGACTGCGTTGAACCAGTGCAGAATAGCGACGTGAAGGGAGCGTGCGAGTGTTGTACCGCACTAACTTTAGACACTTTGCACAGGGTCAGGGCTGTCATTGGGAGGTTCGGAGACCGGCTAGATTTGCGGAGAACAAGCCTGGAAGTCACGTCGGGGCGCTGTGCCGCGACTCCAGCCCAGTGGGGGCGGGTCCCAGCTCAAAAGTGACCAAAATGACGTGCGCTGACATGCTTGCAATACCACCCCGGGCCGATGGGGGTGGACCCAGAAGTAGAATTAGCCAATGCTAACATATAGCATTGGTAGACCTCTCAAAAACGTCTTTACAGGATGGACCAAAAGTTGGCTCTTGGCCCAAAGCTCCGTTCCACATGTGTGTCAATGCTGAGGGGGATGGATTTTTTTGGTCCACTCTAGTTTACTTGCTGTGAATTTTTGAAGTCTCTCGTTCAAATGAATGCAGTTGCGCCGGCTAACGCATGCGCAGATGCGTTTTTTCACAATTTTCTTGTGGGCGGGACCACTCGCGGCCATTTTGGATTGCTCCAGTAGAGCAAATTTTTTTGGCCCATTAGTTAGAACAGCGGAGAGAGGCGTGACTCTGTCCGTTAATATATATACAGTCTATGCTCTCGCCAGACCCATGTAGTTCGCTGCACTTCACACATGAGTCTGGTACTGAGCCATAGTGGTTGGATTTCAGAAGGCAGGGCCTTGTAAAAGAAATCCTTGTATGTGATTGGATAGACCACTTGTCCGTTATCTTGAATAAAGTCTGCTTTCAACCACTCACATGGAAGCACACGGCTCCCATAGGTTGCCAAATCCCAGCAAGATTTTCCAACCCAAAATCTGCGAGAATACCCCCAAAAAAAAAACACTCAATGATTTTTTTGGCTAAAAACGTAATGTAATCAACTTGGGCAATCATGATTCTGTTTTTTGTCTTTCTGTTTATTTAATACCTACAAGTCTCTTGGAAAAAAATATGCGGGAACCACGAAACCTGGCAACCCTGCTGCATAGTGTGTAAACAGGAACACTGAACCAGTGCTTCAACCAAACTTTACAGCACATGTGTCAAAGTCAAGGCCCGCGGGCCAATTCCGGCCCGCGAATGAATTATCTATGGCCCCCGGGACATTGCCTACCATTGAGGCAATGTATTGACCCCTTCATAAGCCACAAGCTATATATCATTTTAAAGCTTATTTTCTCAGCTATATTTATATGTAAGTGTAAACGATATCAGACTTTGCATTAAAAAGATATAATGCATAATATGGGCACAAAATAAATCAGTCTGTATTTGTTTTTTACCTTTCGTCTTCTGCTGCTCCAACAAATTAGACTTTCCCCATCCTTGCTTAGTCGCTTTCTCTCCGTAACTGTTCATTGAAGAAGAATATCCACTTGTATTTCCCAAAGTATAATCCATTCTTCAGATTTAATCAAAAAACGCCCCGAAAAGAGGTCCAGACTGCTCTTTTACATTTCACCAAGTTTGAGCTTTTTCTTTTTTTACTATTTTCATGTTCTCAGATGTCTATTACATCTAATATGTACAGTATGAGGATTGGCTTTAGAGCATATTTTATCGAGCCAACAGGTGTCACCGGCACTGCCTCTGGATGTTGAGAAACATTGAACCAGTCCGGCCCTCGGCGCGTAGCAAACATTTTTTTTTGGCCCTCTGATGTATTTGACTTTGACATGCCTGCTTTACAGGAACATTGGACTCTTAAAACACACATATCAACATAGAACCATCTACATCTCGCCTCAAATTGCATTAAAAGTGACCTCCGTGTCTTAATTCGATCGTATTTACTCTTTTAAAAAGACTTGCGGACTTTACGTCCGCCATCTTTGATTCCTCTCGCTGCTGCTTGAGAGAAGCTTGAGAAGGCCGTGCAAACCCCACGTAACACCGGCGATCCTGATTGGTCGATTAAAAAATAATCTGGGGAAGGTGTTCGCTATGGCGTCGATACCAGACCCATGTGGTTCAGCCAAACACCTCTGGTGGAGCATGGCGGAACTACAAGGGTCTGGCAGAGCCAGGCTAAATCTTTTGGCCCATTAGTTAGAACAGCGGAGATAGGCGTGACTCTGTCCGTTAATATATACAGTCTATGCTCCAGCCCCTGCTAGTCTCCTGTAAAATCTCCGCAAATAGATGTATTATCGTGCCTCCCGCCATCACTGGGACAGTAACGTGTTGGAGAAGCCTTTGTCCGGTGTTAGACGAGAGAGGGCAGGGGTGAGGAGAGAGAGAGCGGGGGAGATGAGAGAGAGAGCGGGGGAGATGAGAGAGAGAGCGGGGGAGAGGAGAGAGAGAACGGGGGAGACACATTTTATGAAAATTCTAAAATCCACAATTTCCAAGGCCATATGATGTCATAATATGCTAATTAGATGGGTACACTTATTCCCTACATAACACTTTTGGCCATCCTTAATAATTCTGTAATTTACAGAAAGTCTTTATCTCCTATCACTTTTAAGTTACAGCCTTTTGAAATAAAAATTTCAAACGTTTTTGAGTATATGCAACAATGTACAATTACCCTAAAAATGACTTAATTACACAAACGCGTCTTGTCTTTAATTGCTCTTTGGGTTAAACAACAAAACCTGTTTTGGTGCACTTTACTTTATTCTGCATAGCATACATTTGTATGTTTCTTTGTGTTTATCCAAGGCCACGTTTTTTAATAACGGGATGGAAACTAAAAACTTTTTTTTTTTTATCCGATTAATCGAAGAAATAATCGACAGATTAATCGATTATTAAAATAATCGTTAGTTGCAGCTCTAATGGAATCCCTCAATACTTTTTTTATTCCAGAAAAAACACAAACCGCATGAATGGTCAAATGGCAATACAAGTTTATTCAAATAGTTAAATGTTCAGTCAAATGTGTAGTATTGTTTGTATGTATGTTTGTAGTAGTGTTTTATCACTACTAAGTTGTCTAACAAATGCTTAAATTGACTACCATTGTTATTATTAACAGACACACTGTGGATCCGTATGGCGAGTGACTTGGGCACATCCAGAGTTTGGACAAGTTTTGGCTTCGTGCTCGTTTGATAGGACTGCAGCTGTGTGGGAAGAGATTGTTGGAGAGTCCAATGACAAACAGAGAGGACAGAGCCATTGGGTGTGTTGATTTTTTTGTCATTATTTAAGTTTTTGTGAACAAATATGATTTGTACATGTTGACCTATTATCTGGAGACACAAATACAGAACATGGTTACAATAGAAAAGAAAATTAATCTAGTAATGTAAATTTGTGTGTAATATATTATCACACAGTTGGTAGTTCCTACCATCTGTGTAGCTTCATGGATTACTTCGGTGACTATATGTTTTGGTGATACTATATATTTATAGAGTATCTTGCATTATGAATACCACTTGTATTAAGTGCCTGGATAAAATAAAAATAAAAAATTCCAAATTCTATAATTTTGATTATCCAGATTTCTGCTTTCTCATTGGATAATCTGTTCAAAAATGTCAACATGCACAATATGGCCATAATGGAAGTCAAAAATAACATACTTTTTTTTTATCACAAAAATCACCAGAACGCTACTGTCAGTGTGTGGCATAGACACAGTTCCACAATGTGCAGTTGGCCTCAGTTAGACTCAAACATAAACATAACAGATTTTTTTAATCATGTATTTGCAAGATTATAGCAAAAACGCTAGTTTTGCTCTGGCCTCTTCTGTAATAGGCCAGAGGAAACTGCAAGATATTGGAGAATATAATCCGAGGCTCTTTTTTCTTGTAATTTTAGATAAAGAGGACGACATTGGTAGACAGTCGAACTTCAGTGACCGATGTTAAGTTTGCTCCTAAACACATGGGTCTGATGCTCACCACTTGCTCTGCTGATGGTGTGGTGAGGATCTATGAAGCCCCTGATGTCATGAACCTGAGCCAGTGGTCCTTGCAGCATGAAATCTCCTGTAAACTCAGCTGCAGCTGCATCTCCTGGAACCCTTCCAGGTAAAAATGTGCAAAGCCAGGCTCATTCAAACTTAACAATATACATTTATGAAGCAGCGTAGTATGTTTTTTTGGGTTGTGAGGAGTGTTGGCCTTGATACCATTTGGAAACCTCTGTGAGATGTGAGATGTGAAAATGTTATCTTCAGACACAAACATGCATTTGTTTTATTTGATGTGCCAAATTAAAATGATACATTTTACAGTTATTTTTAGTATTTTCTCAGTAGTGTCTAAAAAGATAAACTAGTTGATATGCTTATTATTTTGTACATGGTTATTAAGTGTTAAAACTTTTTCTTTTTTTCTTTGCAGCTCGCGAGCCCATCCTCCAATGTTTGCTGTGGGGAGCGATGACAACAATGTATCATATGGTGGAAAGGTTCAGATCTACGAGTATAATGAGAATACAAGGTGTGCACTGCTCAAATCTGCGTTAACTGACTTAATTATTCTTTTTATTGTTTTATTTATCATTTCTTTCAGGAAATACGCCAAGGCAGAAACTCTAATGACAGTCACAGACGCAGTTCATGATATTGCTTTTGCTCCGAACTTGGGAAGGTCTTTTCATGTCCTTGCTATTGCGACAAAAGACGTCCGAATATTTAAGCTGGTGCCTTTAAGGTTTGGCCTTTTCCATAAAGATGATGAAAACAAATAATGTACAAATAATAAGAGCTTTTCTTGATAGAAAGGAGAGCACATCTTCAGGATCCACTAAGTTTGAGGTGCAGATTGTGGCTCAGTTTGATAACCACAACTCCCAGGTGTGGAGAGTAAGTTGGAACATCACCAGCACTTTACTTGCATCATCTGGGGATGATGGATGTGTGCGACTATGGAAAGGTAAGATGAGAACTGGGTCAGAACAGCAATTGTTGAATTCTATTTTTGACCTCCTCGCATGGCTCTTTTGATGTATGTAAAAGACATTTTTTGTCTAATTAAGATGTAATATTTTGGGGTCTAATTTGTTCACGTCATTGTACCTTTATAAGTACTTGTCCTCTGTTGGGGATACAGAGGATACACACTCGTATGGGACATGTGTAATATTGTTGTTTTAAGAGTAAAACAAGCATCACATGCATTTTGCTCTATCAGGTCAACTTTTTGAGATACAGCCATAGTGTTACAGATTACTTACGTCTACGTTATTATGAATTCTGCTTATCAAATTTGATAGAGTAAATAAAAACTGAATGACTTTGGAAACGTTGACTTTTATTTCTTGAGGAAAACTGAAAAAACGTCAAGGGTTTCTCAGCTGATGATCCGCAGAAATTTGTTTTTTTTTACACAAAATCAATTTAAAAAAAATATTTCTGTAGCAAAAAATCCTGACCTGATTGAGCAAAACCAAGGTCATTTTCAGACTCAGTGCATCAAAATTAGTCTAATTCAGCTGAAAAACCCTGGACTATATTAAAAAATATTTTTTTGTTACCCAGTGTTATAAGGACTAAATTAACGATTTTTTTGCATGTAGAAAAGTGTTTCTCTGATTTGCAATGTAATTTTTTTTAAACATTTGTACAAAAAAATGGAATCCTGGCCCTACAGAAGACACAAAGCCTGTAATTCTATAGACATAATAAAGTCTCGGGTTTGGGTTGAGGTAAAACCTGTGTCATACTACTCTGCAACATTGTTGCAAGACCATGCGTTATTGCTAGGAGCTGACCGAGCGCTCTAAGGGCACATAAAATATTAGGATGGACTTGAAAGATGACGTTCGGGGGTATTATTAACATGAGTAATTGACCAGGACTTTAACCAAATTTTGATTATTTATTTGCAGCGAACTACATGGACAACTGGAAGTGCACAGGGATCCTCAAAGGTGATGGCAGTCCCCTCAGTGGTTCCTCTGGTCAGCCCACAGCCATGAGCACTGTGATGGGCTCCTCTCTCCAGTCTCAAAGTGCCATCAATGGCATGTCTGCAGGAAGGTAGGATGTGTGGTGTGTCCTAACGCCACTCACCCGCCTGCGCCAAGACTGAACTGATAACTTAAGTGTGCCTTATACTCACTGAGACTGACCAAGGTGCTTAAGCTGCAAAGAGCTTGGCTCACAGGCTTGCCACATCCAAGCCAAGTCTGTAAACCTGAATTTGTTGTTCTTCTCAAATGGGTGGGTACAGGTTCATAATGCTTCTGTCTTAGTACCATTTTTGTATAAAAAGTCAAATAAATATATGATGTAATTTAATGATTGATAGTGCTGGTTTTGTGTTTTGTTTTTTGCCAATCTCTTTGCGATGCATGACTATTAATCCTAAGTAACTAACAAATAAGAGAATGCCTATACGACTCCTAGACTGTAGTGGAGTGGACGTTGCTATTAGCACGCTGCCGCATAACCAAATGGGAAGTGTCTATAGGCGACAATTGGAAGCACCAATTCATATTTAAATATTTGCACAAAAACAAGATTTTCTTGAACCCTCTCAGTTAGACATTTATATATTGACAAATGACAGTATAGGATACTGGTAGCCAAACCGATCCTCATCCATTGGCAAGTGAACGTTATGGGTGATGTCACATACTACAGTCTACACAATAGGTTATGCAATACCATGGGATGTAATACATTATTTAAATTTCCACTAGAAATCAACAATTGTATTCCAAACATTGAACCTTAACAGAATTTGTTCAAGTCATAGTTAAATACAAATGGGTTCAGCAGTGAAAAAATACTGGTAATGTTTGAGAAAATAAAACATCTGAGGAACTCTAGTATATAAAATATAGGCAAAAATCTACCAGAATAGAAAATAAAAACTAATAATTTAACCCAGTAGCTTGTATGATAATGACATTGCTTTTTCCTCATACTAAAAATAAGTAATAAATAGTTGCAAAAAATGTATTTCTAAATGACGGATATACAGGTGAAACTCTGACAATTAGAATATTGATCAAAAGTCCATTTACTTCTGTAATTTAACTTTTGTGAAACTAATATTTGATGGACTCAGATATGTTGTTGTAAAGTTGGATATATCAATCCTTAATTTAAATAACATTATTTTGAAAATAGTCTATTTGCTGAAAACATAGAAATTGTTGACATGTCACTTTGCAGGTAATGAGCATACTATAGTGGTTCCACATTTTAAGTTAAATTACTGAAATTAATGAACTTTTAAAAGATAGTCTGAATTTCAGAGTTTCACCTGTGTGTTGAGTGGAGTATTAATGTCTGTACTGCTTGTTGCATGCAGGACTGTCAAGAGGGCTTCCTTTTCCCCTCCCCTGCGCCAGTTGACTTCTGCAAAGATATATCACCATTCCACCTATTACTAATGTCTCAAGTAATACGTCTGCATCATCTGTCAACCTTTTGAGTTCCCCTTATTTTGTTTGGATGTTATTATTTGTGAACTTCTCCATTTACATTTATTTTACACTTCTCATTCTGTCTGTGTTCCTTATCTCTGTCACTTCCCTTCCTTGTCCTGTGCTTGTTGTTTTCTCATCTTGTGCTTCAGGTATTTCTTTCCTGCTCTGGATTCTCCCAGGATTGGGAGCAGATGCGGACAACTTCTGCCTCCTCCTTCTCTTATTGAGAACTGTGATGTAGAGCCTCAAGTCCAGCCTCAAGGACAGCTGCAGGTCTACAGAGGTCCCTCCAGGGCGTTACTTTCTTTACAAGAGGCTGAAGGACTCTAAAAGCATTTTTTGTGTCTTGTCAATCAAATTAAATACATTTGTGATACATGTTTTATTCTAGGTCATGTTTGTTTGACAGTCTATTAAACACTAAACCAACGAAAATAATCTGTATTTGTGACATGTGTGTTATAAGCATGGATCTAATATAATAACGTTATAAGGTGCATTCTGCAACTGTCCTGGTGGTGATGACATGCTTTTTATGAATTTATTTGATACTTGCTTCCTGTGATGTCTTTGCTTTGGATGAATTGTCATTTCAAAAGGTATACATAACTCAATTCCTATTTGTTTCAAAAGCATTACAATAAGATTCACTTATCCAGATATTACAGGTAACTTTGTCGTAACTGTAAAATAATCCAGGTAAAACAACTTTTAAATGAACCCTATCAAAACGCGACCATGCCACCAGGACGGGATAGAGGAATGCACCTTTTAATATTGTAGTCAATTTCCGCCCAATAATATGCCTTAATGCAACTCTTTGCTAAACAAAATGGCAAGTTCCATTTATCCCAATTTGGATACTATTTTTTTTAGACCTGTTTAGACATGTTCCTTCTGAAAACGATTGTCCCATCTCTCTGCAATATTTCTAAGTAAGACTGATATTATTTATTTAGTCTTAATTTGAGGTGACAATGTACAGAGACAATGTGAAAAAAATAATTGTAAATTCTGAGTGATTTTCTCAACGTCCATACATTTTCACACATTTAGCCAAACTTTCTTCCACCTGTCAGTCTGATTCCCTCTACCCAGGAAATAACAATACAAACAAATACATTATTACTGGTTGCAGACGATGACATATAACTCGCTGCAATCATGATGTATAGCGTATTAAAGATATTTCACCATAATGTAGAACTGATCTCCACTTCCTACAGCAAAACGGACCTTTTCTTGGAGAATATTCCGCAGTATGGTTAAAACATTGATCTATTATGGGTTTTAACTATCTATTTCCATGCAGGTGACGTACCACCTCCTGAAAGCACATTGTTGCTAGTGTATACTGTTCTGATTGTGACGCACACACAATTCTTCCGTCTTCTCGTGACTCAAATCGGAATGATCTGACTCCATAGGCAGCTGTCAAAGAATCCGTTTGCAGCTGCTGGACTCGCATATGATCCTGGCACACATACACACACGTTCAGAGTTGTAACCTACCTATATAATGTTATGAACAGTATTATTGAGGTTTTTTTCATGAAAAATAAATTATACTTCATTCATAAAATAGCCTTACTGTCACTTTGTATCTGTGGACTGGCATTGAATGATAATACCATTCACCAATTATAACTAATGGATTGGATATTTGGCCCAATCAAATTGCTTTAACCCTCCCACGCCCCGCCCCTTTTACATGAGGCGGGCTTCCTGTGCTTCTGGGCGCTGTAGTTTTGTGAGACCTGTGCATGGAGATTTTCTTTTGAACTTGTTTTTTTGAGTTCGATGTGATGAAAATTAAGTTATTATGGGGACCTAAAGGTTTGAACAGTGGCGTTTACCAGACAGAAGAGTCATCAGACACAGTCACCGCTGAGTAACGTGGGCCGTGAGTAAAGTTGGACTTGTAAAACGTTAGATCGCGTTAATCTTTGAGCAACTGCGACCAACAGACCCTCGTTCATACCATAGACTGTTCATACATTTGATTTCAAAAGATTGTTCTGTTTTCCTGCCAGTTCTTGTTTCTGTGTGGGTAGTGTAGACCGTTTGAACATAATGTGATTTCTGTGATTAGCGTGAAACAATTTGAATCGTGCTGAGGATTTGGAAAACCCACTTGTTTTTAGCAAGTAGCTTAGCTAGCTTCAGAAGTTAGCCAATTTGGAATAATTGACTTCTGCAAGTTAATAATGCACGTTAATCATTCAGAGCCCATCGGTCATTAACCAGCTAAATTAATTAAATGCACAGTTCTATCCACTGTCCAAGATCTAACGCTATGTTGGAGTTTTTATTCCACTAATTGTAATATTGAGATGCAACGTAATTGACAGATGTTATCAGCCTCCAGTAGTCTGTGGCGGTGTTGTAAATAGGTGAAGTAGCACATCTAAACACACACATTTTCTGTTCCATTTGCAGATGAACTGTACCTGAGTTGATGTGTAGCCACATCATCCTTCATGCAGATAATTTGAATAATGGCAGACCATTTCTACAAGCTTGAAGATGAAGTATTTCCCAGCTTTCTCTACAAGTCCCTAGACAGTACCAGTGGTCGGGCCACTCTTGAAAATGTGTCCATGGGATCAGGCCCAGGACTGCCAGTGGCTGCCTCTACAGTAGCTAAAATTAGACCTACTTCTGACAACAGGTGGGGCATATTGCTGGTTGGAGCAGATGTGTAATGTGATGTGGATTTGTATGTTGAAAATGTATTGCTGTATTATCAGCAACAACTAATGCTAAAAATGGAAAGGCTGAAAAATCACACTCTCGTCGAGTTGAATGCTTTCCTTTGTTTTCAGACAAGAGCTTGTGGAAGCTTCATATCTTGAAGGCAGAGAGCAGGCCAGTGCTCAATCATCTGTTGAACACTCCAAGTTCTCCCTTAATTTTAAAGATGATATGTAGGTGTAAAAGGACAGCATAAGAAGCAACTTTAGTTTTATTAATAAATATATCAATTTGGTTGTGTCTTCATTGTCACAGGGATAATGCTGATGACTTTATTGCTGCACATCGAATGTCAGATATGCTGGTCAAAATAGATTTGGATGAGTCTACGTCCAGGAACCAGGCCTCCCTCTTTGGGCCTTTGACAGCATACACAGGTTCAGTTCCTGGTCGGCCCACTGAATTAGCAACAGGTAAATAAATGTCTTTGTCCAACTTGCATACAACATATAAATATACATATACATTCAAAAACACTCAACTGACCCAAACTTAGAAATTGAATTTACACTCTTTGTTTTGCATTACATTTCTGACAGATCTCTCGTCAGGACTTTTGACATTCGCTCACAGCGGACGCAGTAATAGTACAAATGTAAAGGTATGCTATAATTATCCTTTCGAAGTACTATGCTGTAAAATAGGGGTAAATATATCTTGTTTGTAGGTTGGACCTCCTTTACATACAGCAGTAGAAGAAGACAACAGAGAAGATAGTGATCGTTTCAGTGGCAGCAACTCAAGCTTTTTGGCAAATGAAAAGCTGATGTCTGTGGACAGTATAAACAGTGATCTTTCAGGTGCCTTTTTAACTACAAATCTACAAATCTGTCACTTCCTTAATGATTTCTTTGGATGAATAATTCTATAGAGTTTTTTTTTTCCAGATGATGACATTGATTTGAACAACCTTCCAGAGGATGAGCTGGATCAGTACTTTAATACATTTATTCCTCCAGACATGCAAAGAGGCAGAGTGGAAGGACAAGAGATTGCTGCTTCTGTAAGTCATTATGAAGATGAACATGTTGAGCATTGTCGAATTTAGCAACGTTAACAATGTTGGATGCAACATTATTTTTAAAGGATACACCTGGTATTGGTCATGAGCTGTCAAGTCCAGGTTTCACTGAGCCTGATCAATACAGGCACCATTTCTCACATGACTACCAACAGGTACAACTTTATGTAATGTAAATTTATAAACAACTTATAAAGAAATGTAAATATGACAATGTATGTATATATTTTTACTACTACCATTGTGTAAGCTCAAATTAATACTTTTTAGAAAATCGTATGTGTATATATTGTTGGCTATATTTGCTGATTCAAAAAAAAAAAGTGTTAATTTTTTTTTTTATTGTTTGGTTGATTATATAAAACAATCTTTACTAAATCTACCCCATCCCACATGATGGGATAGATTTGTGTACACCTGCAGGTTTGAAATAAATAAATAAATGAAATGATTTACAGATGCCGGATGTGCGCTTAGCTGCGACTGGAATGGACTCTTGTCCAGCTAGTGATGAGGATACAGAAGATGAACTTGAGGCAGCCCGAAGAAAAGGCACCACCAGGACAAGACTGCTGCCAAGCACATCACGCCAACTGGTCAGATCACACTTTGGAAAACTATATCTACACTTTCAAATAAAAATACAACGACAAAAATAAACATATAATTGAACCTTGTTGGGATTTTGCTTGTTTTCTTTATATAATTGAACATATTCAATCTGTTTTCACAGGTTGGAGAGAGTCACCACACAAGTTTTAGGCCTGGTTTAGAAGGCGGCAGCTCAGATGATGAGTCTAGCCGTCGAGGAGGTCCATCAGTGTCTGGGCTTGAGCACAGGAGATCAGCTGAGGGACAAGTTATAAATCCTCCTATAACAGGTACCACACTGTGAAATCTGCTTTTTTAGAATGAAAAACTGAAATTGTGAATTTAATTTAGGTTTTCATGATATCTCGTTTACACCAGGTGATGGTGGTGATGGAAGCAGTGGCAGTGATGAGAGTGGAAATGATGGTGGAGTTTCAACTCTGCCTTTACCAGCAGCTCCTGTTCAAACCACATATGATGTTCTCAGAGGACTGGGCATTGTAGGGGAAGACCAGGCTAGTAACATGACTGACCTGCAAGGGCTTGTAAGTAATATAACAAAACAAAACATATTTTTGACCATATTTGAAGTCTTTTCTAATGGTTCTTTTAGATAGGGGATCGCGTTGGTCCTGTAGGAACTGGGGAAACAAGTTTTTCTTCAGCTAATGTTCAAAGAGCAGACCCTGTCAATTGGAGCATGACTATGGATCGACAGGAGGCTCTGGTGAGATGAAATTCAAATGTTGTAAATTTGTACAGAAAATTAATTCATTAGTTGCACTCGTTGCAAGTGTATTGTGGCTCGGCCTGTGATATAGCAGTAACATTTCATTTGTGGATCTTGTCATCTCTGTGCCTTTCTATAATGATTTGTACAGTCTCCCTTTGACATAATGTGACAATGGCTCTGCCTAGTTTGGGATCACATTGGTACATGATGTTTTTGTCATGCAAGCCAAAATACCTGTGCAACTAGAGCTGGGGGAAATTTCCGGTTCTTAGATTAATCGCCAGCGGTGACAGTGGCTCAGTTTGGTAGATCTTTTGGGCCTGAAGGTCATGGGTTTGAGCCCACCATGAGACCTACTTCACAACTTCCTCTGATGTCTGCAGTCGTCGTGTTCTTGGGCAAGACACTTAACCCCACTTTGCCTGAAGCCCCCACTGAAAGATCAAGACTCCTGTGGACTCGCCACATACAGGAGGATCAGTGAGGGGCTGGTGCTCTGTGAATTGGGTGCAGCTCTGACTGCCACCCCCATCCAGAAATGGATTAAGGGGAAGAAAATGTATGGATAGATAGATTGTGTCAAGATTCACAAACATATAAATTATGATTATTTAGATATGCCAAGTAAAACGTACTGAAATGCCGTCAATCATAGATCCTTGGTAAAATCCAATGAACATTTACAACAATGAACAGCCTACAATGCTCTCCTGGATTCAGAGAAGTAAAAGAACAAAGTCAGAATCAGACTCGCTGGCTGACGCCCCGCCAAGCCACAATAAGATCGCTGCAGGGCAGACGCAGGCAAATGAAAGCAGCACTTGTGCCACGGTCATTGACAATCAAGTAGCAACACGGACAAGAGTGACACTTCTACCGATGACAACAGCCGCGTTAATGAGCATGTTGGTCCCTAGCTCAATTAAATTTTTTTACTTCACTACCATTTTTGCATTTTTTGAATTTATTTCAGTAACTCTTTCTAGCTCAAGCATATTTCCATAAACAAATTATATATATATATATATATATATATATATATATATATATATATATATATATATATAAATAGATATATTATTTTCTCTAAAGTTTTTGGTTGACAGTCATAAATAAAACTCCTTCAGGTGAAAACAAGTCCAATCCCTAGCATTTTTAAAACATGAGAGGTGAAAAAAAAAAGAAAGAGTACCGGCACCTCTTTTGGGCCACTTAAAGCACTAAGTACCCACTAAGCTGCTGCACTTTGGAGAAAGATGCATCTCACAACACTTGTACACATTGACTCTCAATTGATTGCAAAGAACGAGACCCATGCTTGAGCTGGTTGGTGCACAGTGGCCTTGTGTAAACGGGAAGAGAAACGGAAACTCAACACGGACCGTGAGGTAGTCGCTGAAGGCTCTTCTGTCTAACCCTTTAAGCCTAGCGTACATCGGACTGGCAACTGATTATATCAGTCGCATATGAGTTGCTGCCCCGCACACATCGAAAATCTGACGAAAACGGGCAACTCCCAGTGGCAGACCAGTCTCGGGAATAACAGCGCGTACATCGACAGCAACTGGCCTCAACTACAGTGTGTTTTCTGACATAAACTGTTGCGGGCTCGCAATACACGCAATACACACATGTTGTCGGAGCAGCGCATGGAGCGCGCACATCGGGTCATATCTCCGAAACTGAGGACAACTAGTTGCCGAAAAGTAGAACACGGGCAACTGACTGAAACTGGAGACCGACTGATCATCTCCAGTTGTAAGAGCGCGCACATCGACCGATTTCGGCAACTGATCATCTCCCACCATCTCCTCTCAGTTGCCAAAAGCTGCCTTGCAACTAGTTGTCTCCAGTTTCTCTGTCGTTGTACGCTAGGCTTTAGACCCTTCTGACCGTATTATTTGTAACATATGAAACACTAAAAGCAACAAAAAACACCTTTTCTGAAATTAATTTAACTCTGGAAATGTGGAAAGGCAACATATTGTTAGTACATGTTTCCTTTCAATATTACTTCTATGAACACATTGTTCATAGAAGGGGCGACAGTAGCTCAGTTGGTAGAGCATTGGCCTTAAGCCCAGAAGGTCGTGGGTTCAATTCCCACCTCTGCACCTTCTCTACCGACTCCCACTGATGACTGCTGTCGTTGTGTCCTTGGGCAAGACACTTAACCCCACTTTGCCCAAAGCCCCCACTGAAAGATCAAGGCTATGCTCACACTCAGAGAGCAGCCGTCCTCCTGTGGACTCACCACCTGCAGAGGGTCAGTGAGGGGCTGGTGCTCTGAGACTTGGGTGGCATCTCTGACTGTCACCCCCCTGACCCAGAGATGGATTAAAGGGTAGAAAATGGATGGATGGATGGATGGATGAACACATTGTTCCACATTGCCAAGATCACATGATACACATGATTCCCATTAATGGTTAGGTGAAAACATGCCAAGAATTTGTATTGTGTCTTTATGTTGCAGGTGGGCTTCCCTCAAGGGGAACCCCAAGATTCTGATGAGGGCATTGATGAGCCGGATGGGTGCAGACAGTCTTTGGGTCTAAGAGGAGGACCATGTGGTAATGCCTCTGTCGCGGAGCCGTCGGACAGCATGAGTGAAGAGGAACACAACCCACTCTCCACCTCCCTTGAGCCAAAGTACTTCTCACAGAGTCTACACCAGGATGATTCAGACGACAGCTGGACCAACTGTCCTGAAAATGTGGAGCTAGAGTTTCAGCAAGGTTAGTTTTATTATTTTGCACAGGTCATGAATAAAACTGTTCCAAGGTTTTGGCCCAAAAAATCAATCACATTCCTAATATACCAGGAATGTTGGTCACATTCTTGATGGAAATTCTATTGATTTTAACTCCTTATACCAAACTAGCTCTGAAGTTTCCAGTTTTGGTTCGTGTCGTTTCAGAGGCCAAAAACACCAACAGTGTGGTGTATCAGAATGAACAAGGCCAATGGGTGACTGACCTTGCCTATTACTCCTCTTTTGAAAAAGAACAGGCACCAGAAAACTTGCAGGAATTTCAAAATGAATCCTTTGTGGCTCCAGGTAAGTATCTTTGTACACTGACATAACAAACCAAACTGTATGTATGTAGTCTTACCAAAATGTATTGTTTTAGGCCAGGCCTTAGAAATAATTGCCAAGGACCAAGAGGAATTTGAGAAAGAACATCAATTCATTCAGGTAGATTTTTGTAAAATCTATGAATAACAAATATCAGTTTCTGACAATGAAAAATAAAACTTTTGTGTCTATATATTCAATTATTTAAACACTAGCTACATATAAAGTGCTCAAATATGCTTTACTTTCTCTCTTTGAAATTGTTTTGTATTTTACTCAGGAGGAGAACATTGAACCTGCCCCAGCTAATGCCACCTTTCAGAGTGACTCTTCTTGGAAGCTTCCCAGCAGTAACTACGTCCTCATGAGGGCTTCCCAGATGTCTGACTTCTCACAGACGGATCAGAGCTACCTCCGTCTGTCTTTGGGCCAATTCTTTGAACAGCGCTCCGAAGCCCTTGGACGACTGAGCCTGAGAGAAAGTCTTGCGGACATTAAACGAGTCAGTGTTGTTTTAAATCATTATTGTTAATGCATTATTCACACCGCTCCAAGCCTCGCTTCAGGTTTACATGCAAAGTCTATTTATCTGGAGTTGTGGTTCCAAGTGTTTTAATGCTCAACTTCTGTGGCAAAATCTTCGGTGGCAACCAATCTGAGAGCTAGAAGATCTTTTTATATGTTCACCGACACACGACAGGATGAAGAGAATTACACTTGTTCAGTCAGGTTGTTTAAAGACTGAACCAGAGACATGCTTCTACCCAGAGCAGTTTACAGCTCATTCTACCATGACTGGATTATTGCTTTAGGGGGTAGCCTTAGGAACATGCTAAAAAGAGATATTCAAATAAATACACTTTTTTTGTTTTTTTTTTCCTTTTTAAAATAGTTTTGTTTTGTTTATTTTCTTGCTCAGGGACTGCAGATGGAAACTAGCTCAAGCTAAATCTGGTGCAAAGCATCTTTAATTAATGTATTTGCACATTGTCCCTGTTGAAATAAATTAATAAACTAAACTAAAAAAAACGAACATTTTAAATATTTGACTGCATAACAAATGTTCAATAAATGCGTCATTATTCAAAATTGGGCAGGACATTTAAGGGGCTTTAAGGGGACATTTAGAATGACTGCTAAGTGATCTCAACATGAATAGTTTTTGAGCTTAGTTCATTTATGAAATAGAAGTCCCGCCCACAGCTGTTAAGGGCATCAGTTTCACTTGGACACCTGTTTCATTTGAAAGCAGATGCAAGAACCAAGACAGCAGGGTGTTGGCAGTGTAGACACAGTTTTAGACATGTTGATCTTTAACATGCAATATACTTTGAACATTTAACAATAATTTTTAGCATTCTTAAAATATGATGACCAACTCGATATGTGTATTCAGCTTGTTGAACTATACTTTTTTTTTTTTCCCCCACTCCAGCCGTCTTTTGGTTACGTCATCACTTCTCCCGAAAAGAGAGAGCCTTTTGCATTGCTCACTCCCACAGAGTTGACAGACACCACTCATAACGGCACCGTGGATCTTGAACCAGACAAAACCCTCAACGCAGGTTTGTGTTACTAATGTATTAGGCCATTCTATTTTTCATCCCAATTTTACAATGTGTTTTGTTTTTAAATTGGCAGAAGATTTGGACAAAACCATAGAAGCTTCCAAAGAGGCAATTCAATCTGAAACCTCCAAGCAACAGGTACAGCACCTTTTTTGATTTATTTGAGAAACAATGTATAGTAAAAGGAGATGGTTAATGTAGGTATATTTGCTACTCGAGGAGGGAGTAGGTAGAATTTCCCAGACTTTGTCGCATACATTATGTGCATTTGTTTTACAGATTTATTTTGAATTGTAGCGTTGTGTTCAATTGGTTTTGAAATCATTTGCCATTTTGGGCTTATTTCTCCCACAGAAAACTCTTGACTCTCCATCTCTTGACCACAGTGAGGACTCTAATCTGGGAAATCAACCCAGTGTTTCCCCTGACAGTAACAGTAGTAATCTGATGCTCAGTATTAGTACTATAGCCTCAGCCATTGCAGATGCATCCATCAGCACTGATCCATCCCAGTTAGCTGGTATGATCATGGAGCTGTCCAAGAGGAAAAAGCCTTGGCCTGAAGTTGGATCTGTTGGGACAAACACTGCACCACCTGCCGAATCAGACGTAAGATACAATGTTTATCAATTTCATACTACCGGTTGTAGGAGCTAGGCAATCCAAATCTTTCTGTGGCGATTTTTATTGTTCTTTTGGTTTTTAATACATTGTCCCCTCCTAATGGAGGACTTTTACATGTGTACAGGAATAATTTCAATACCATGTTTTACCATAGTTCAAGTGTATCTATGCTTTTACTGAAGTACCCAAGAGCTAGTACGTTGGCCAGCTCTGGTTAATGCGGCGCTCCTTCTTTTCCTGAATATAATACGTCAGATTGGGAACAGAAAAAAAAAATGCTCAGGAACTGTTATAGATATAGTACAGGACACCCACACTAACCCTTTTTTTTAATTTACGTTTTTAGACTCTCCCTATTGAGGAGCAGAGCGTCACAATGGATTCTCAGCAGAAAAGTGTCTTCGATATGGACAAGTATCTGAGGACTGATCTCCCTGGTGAAATCTCACTCGCACAAACCTTTGACTTGACTGGTTGGGCCGACAACCTGAAAGCAACAATAAACACTGACTTGAACCAGTGCTCATCTCCTTTCCCTCGTACATCTTATAGCTCAAAATCAAGAGGCTCTGGACAATCTTCTACACTGGCAGAAAATGTATCGACTCATGATAAACAATTGAATGACGATGTGGATAAAATGTTAGTAGTGAAACCACAAGCATCTAGCGTTTCCAGATCATCCATGGAAAAAACACAAAACAAGAAAAGTCCACCATGTTCTCCGAGCCATTGCCCTGATGTAGCCAGCTCCTCTTCAGGCTGGAGAAAGGCCCCGACAGGCCAGCCTAATGTGGGAAATACAGCATTATTACGGAACTCAAAAAGTGAAACGCACAAACACTTTGAACCGCAAATCTGTCTTAAAAGTGCTATTGCAACCCCTGTTCATTCTACTGTAGAAAAACATGTTGAATTTACTTGTCCACGTTTGGAGAGCACTACATCTGCAGGTTTGTATCATTGTTGTTTTGTTTCTTTTCTTTGAGCTACTGTACATTCTCCTTACATGTTTTTCTTACTACAGATACATTAAAAAGCCAGGAACCCGTCGTAGATGAAAATCCCTACTTCAGGCCTTCGACATCACCTCTTACCCACTCCTCTCCAAGCCAAACGTCTTTCCCAAGTGTTGAAAGGTATATTATCCTGACCTCTATACATCTAAAAGGGGTTGGTTATGTTAAGTTAGCTATTTGCTTGTTTACAGTATGACATCACCGTCCTCATCCAGAGCAGGGAACTGTGACAAACGCCAGGACTCTTCGCCTCAGTCCATCTGCTCCAGCCCTGGTCTCAGCAGGCTCACCTATATTTCAGTGAATGATGGCACTCTGATGCCCTCACCCGAGAAGAAAAATGTAGCAATTGATAAGGTATTGGTCTTTAATAATTATTTTTGTAGGCATGCCTTAATTATTGCTGTTTATCTTTTTCTGCTATTACTAATATTTCTTTTCTATTGCTAAGCTACGCCTGCTTATCTAATATAGGTTATATTTATGACTGACATTGCGATTGGACGTAATTTACTATATTTTCAAACCAAGAAATAAATACTTAAATACTTGAATAGTATTTTTATTGTGCACATGCAGTATACTCAATATATGATATGTTTTCTTTAACCTATGGACCATATCATATCGTGTCCTTAATAAATAATTATAATATTTTTTAGAGAATACATAACTGCAAGGTTATTGCACACATTATGTCTTGGCTTGTATAAATTATGAAGATCAAATGTTTAATATATAATAGGAATACTGTTACAAAATATTTTTTCTTGCTATTTTGTTGTTGCCTATTTTTAGTCCCTTTTTTTGTTTGAAATTAATAGTTCCGCTTTAATTCCAGTATAGAACTTTAACTAATCATTAGCGTTTGCTCTCTTTCTCTCAGAATGATCGCACCATGTCCTTGAGTACAACCATCATAAGATTCAGCCCTACTCCTCCTGTAGAACCTGATCTCCAGCCAAACATGGATTATCAGCCACATTCAAAAAGCCTGGATCCACTCCCTCCTCAGAACTCCAACAGCCCCTGCGGCTCTCGAAGTGGATCTGTTCTCGGTTGTAGCCGTACCCAAAGCGAATGCAACTATCCGAGTAGTGTTTCAGATAACGTTGGCAATCAGAAACTCCTCACCAACGCAAACGTAAGGCAGCTCACTAAAGTAGACTCGGGCTACTGTAGCAACCTGAATCTTCAGCATGCTAGCAATACTGTAGTACCATCAACCTCAACTCAATGGCCGCCACCTTGTACACTCGCTTCCTCTATGTACGGAGCTAACTATGTGCCTATTGCAAGCTTTAAACCACAACGTTCTGGGTTGGTCGACCTCCCACCACAGGGGGATCTGCAGTCATTGCTTGCTGGACGTCCCCTTTTCACATCTCAATTGCCTCAACAGTACTTGGGCTCTGAGGCAGCTTTGCATCCTGGTGTTTATCAAATGAAGACTGGAAATGGTCTTTATAGTGATCTTACAGGGAGGCCACAACACTCCGCTTCTTTGGGACTTTCTGGTTCCGCCGGACCAGAACATTTGTTGAGACTCCAGTGTCAACAAGACCTAATGGGGAAAGCTTACGGTCAGTTCGGGACTGGTGCTTTGGTTGGCGGTCTTGAAGATTTTAGAGGCATGTGATTGCATTTAAAAAGACAGTTTTAACACAGAAAACCTGTGCAAAGTTTAAATTGATTCTTTGTTTACAGGTCAAGTAATAGTTCCAGACGAGCTTCGGTTTCCAAATGCCTGCTGTGTGGGTATCGCCTCGCAGACGTCGCTCAGTCTATTTAACCCCTCTGAAAGATGGCAACAAGTCTCTATTGTCCTCTCTAGCCTATCTATTGACGGTGAGAAGGTAAGTGGGAAATTGTACTTTTTAAACTAACACTCACTGATTCAAATATTACAACATCAAATGTGTCCATAATTGATTTGATGGAAATAATGCAGTTGATATAAAAAGGATAATTTAATTCTTTAGGTTGATGCCTTGCCTTACCAGTGGCTTATTGTGAAGAATAAGACTATTATTGGGCCCAAGACGACAGAAGACCAGAAAGTGTTGTTCATTCCACCTCAACCTGGCGTTTATCAATGTGTGCTCAGTGTGTGCTCCTGGCCTGCCTCTGCGGAAGCGGAGATGGCTGCCAGGGCTAACATCTTTGCTAAAAGGGTTGTGCTTGTGGCTATAGCTGAGAATCCTGCTATAGAGGCAAGTTTACTGTTGCTTTAATAATCGTCAGATAATTATATGTCTGAGATGTTGTTTTTGTCATATTAGGTTGAACTGGGTAAGGTTGCATGCTTGGACTTTGGAGACCTGCCTGTTGGTGGAGCCAAAGCCCTTGCTCTCAAACTGCTGAATAGGACCCATGCTACAGTTCCCATTCGTCTGGTCCTCAGTGCTGTGAGTCATTTTAAAGATCGTTCATTTGAAAAGGTTATTCAGTATAAAAAGATGTTATGTATGAATATGCCTAGAGCCCTTTGAAAAGGCTTCTGAGTAAATTATACTTTTTTTTTCATGACTCCATGCAATATTAGATACATTATTTTGTATATCTTTGATATTAAAGTCAGATCAAGTGCATAATGTTTAAACAATATTATATTTGTATGTATATTTTCCTTTCATGAAAATACTTTGTTCACATACACTGTTCCCATAATGGTTACAAATATCTATTTTAAACATTTAAATGAATGGATGAGCATTATCTATAAATCGCTTCATAATTCAGTGATTTATGCCTTTTTAATAGATAACTTTTGTTGTCATTTTAAGAGCATCTGTCATGCCCTCATTTTACATGACTAATTGTTTGACAGGGCATTTCTTTGGTCGGTGTCGGGTGCACTGCAGAGATCAAGTTGGAGCTAGCTTTAAAGCTGCCCAACTTTTTTGGATTCACAAATATAGATTAAAAAATTAATTTTGTGAACAAATCAAACCACAACAGGCTCTTTATTTTTTCAATGAAACTGCTGATCTACAGGCTAAAAACTCGCGTGTGGTTCTATCGCTAGTTAAGAACAGTTTTATCAAACTGTTTCAATGTTGCTTTAAGTATTGTGATTCTTTCCAGAATGCTACTGCCTGGCGATGCTTCAGTTTATCTAAAAACCCTGTGACGTCTGAGGCGGCGCAGCAGGCTGGGCACATCACCACGTTGTCTCCTCCGGCTGTGATGAATCATGTGATGCATGCCAGCTATGGAGAGGTGAGGTCCCAAAATAAACTGTTCAAAATCTGATCTATAATGAGATATTGTCCAACCCATTTTCAAATTCTTTCTCTAGAATCCAGAGACTTTTGTGATTTGGGTTCATTTCAAGGCTCCCGCAAAGTACTCCTCATCAATGGGTAGGGCAAAAGTAAAATATTTGTGATCGTTTTATGTTTTGTGTGTATAAATACATCATATAGATAGATCGATCTATTTTAGTAGTATATAATACTATATGCATACTTAAAGTCTAAAAGTGATAGAAAGAGAGCTGTATGTATTTTACAAAAATTATAGACATAAATATAAATGCTATTTTTATTGTTTCAGAAGAGCTTGGGCCCCCGGATGAGTTTGTGGCTCGAGTGGACATCGAAGTGGATTCTCCAGGACACACGCACGTGATCAAAAGCATTCCTCTGAAGGCCAGGTCTGGAACGGCACGAGTCCATGCTCCAAAAGATCTGCAGGTACTTGCATGTTTTCTCTGTGTCTAGGTTTATCTTCCAGAAAGTTGTCTACCTTTTCCTCATACCGAGCTGGACTCTGGAATGCTCTTTGCACGGTGCTGAAACACACAACATTAATTAATATTATTGGAAATTGTGTGCTTTCTATACTAGCTTGCGATTACACCAAAGTCAACACAAATTGTTCGTCCATCGAGTCTGTAATCAATAATTGGTTTGTTTGTTTTTGGTCAAATGTATACAACAATCAAAAGCCCCTGGAGAATATCTTTTATAGATGACTTGTTGCACCTCTTTATTTTAGAGTTATCGTTCACTTACCTTTTCCTCTGTGCTTCTCATTCCTACTGTTCTGTAGCTGGTGATGCAACACTGAAATTTCCCACTGTAGTTTGAATAAAGGATCTCTCAAACAGATTTAAAAATTGTTGACAAATATTTCAAGAATGTATTAATTGTAAAGGCTTGGGTATACTCTCGTGGCGCTGGTTACTTTTGCGGTTGCACTGGGCCCACGTAGCCACAGTTTGTGGTACAGTCGCGTGTTAACCTTGCGGAGTTTTGAAGAGAATGTTGTAATCCCACAATCAACCACAGGATGGCGATCTCACAGGAGTTGCCTGAGAAACCAAAGCGGTCCCATTTACGCTGCTACTTTCTCCTCTTCAGAACAAAAACAATAGCGAACCAAGCTGTTTGAGATCATTACGTGTGTTTCTAGAGTAGGTTTATGTGACAGTCGTATGGACTCATCGTTTCAACTCATTTAACTGTGATGTTGTGATTAAAGACACAGTTCTTGTTGGAAACGTTGTTTGGTATTAAATTGTATTCAGCACAAATAGCAAAACAGTAAGTGGTAAATATCTGAGACAAACATGAACGATTTACAAGTGCAGGAGGAATGCAACAGACGCGATGAGCTACGAGTGCAGATTCAAACAAAGACAGGAACAGTGCAAAAGAAACGACTGCACAGTTTATAAGTTACATTTATGTAAGTTATGCAACAAAACTGAACAGTCCAGAACTGAACAGTCCAGTCTTCGCATATATCAGGCTCTGAGCCATGAACCCAAACTACTTTACCTTCGGTTCCTTCGAAGCGCGAAGCAGTCTGCGCCAAAGTGCCTCGTCCATGCTCCCTGCAGCCGCTCCATGCTTCCCAGAAAGTAATTGCACATGGACCAATCACAGTGGAGCTTCTCTGCGGCGGCGGCCGCGTAGTTAGACATTTTTGAGGATGCGCGGCAGGCTACATAAGGGCCTTGCGGTGATCCACGCGTTGTGCAAGTGACGTCACGTCACCATCGTAAGCTCCGCGTGGCTATACACTCGGCTTCACATTCCAAATATCAATCAATAAGTTGCCCTATTTAACTTCTCACTGGCTTTTTGTTACTTTATTAATGGGGCACAAATGCTTAATTCTATCAATGTGCTGTTTACTCATCATAAAATGTTTTTGAGTAGTTATCAGGATCATCCAGATGTGTGACTGCATAAAACTAACCCTCTCCTGTGTCCTAATGTCCTCATTCTAATGCTGAACTGCCTTGTGCCGCCTGTGTCTAGACTGTCAGCCTCACTGCTCCGTTGGGTAAATCCAGCCAACAAATACTGCCATTAAAGAATGCAGGAAACATCGACGTGCAGCTGAAACTCAAGGTAATTCTGACCTTTACTTTTCTTATTAGATTAGGGATTTGGGTAAGCCTTGGTGACATTTTGGACTCAGACTGTGTGTGGGGACTCATTGATATTATGCCCCTGTTTTCATGTGCTCACCTTCATCCCCTCTGGCCTCGTTTTTTCGTATGTTCTTATTCCATCTCAGCCCACTACCAATGCATTATTTTAGGGAAAGTTAATACAAAGCTCCATCTGTTAATAAGTAAAGAAGAAACTGACACCAAACATTCGAAGGGCATAACATGGAGCTGAGAAGTTTATTTTGATTTATGTTTAATAACATAAAATGCATCCTTTTTGAAATTCTATAAAGTAGTATAAAGTGTGTATTTTAACAGGCATTTATACAATTTGGATAACTGGAAAAAAATATAGATATTGCTTCAGTATTATAAATCATTTTCCTATTCATTTTAGGAGTTTGTCATTCCTGTAACATCACTTGATCTCCCCACATAAAATAATGACACACCTTTTGTTTAATTTGTTTAATTCAGTTGAACCTCTTTTGTTTTTGTGGCGTTCACCAATGTATTTATGCAGAAATGAAAATGTAGCAGCAGTAGACTGTTTGTTCTCAACATGTACAGCATGGGGCTCTACAGTACTAGCTGACATTGGTGAGAAATTGCCTGAAAAGATGTTTAGAAATGTATTTTCGGTTATTTTATTTTTTACAAAACTTGAAATGGGCTTTTTTTCAGTCACTTTTACTAGTTGCTCATTGCCCAATTCAAATAAGCAAACTTGGCAATATAAGGTATCAGATTCTGATTTCCCACAAATGTTTTGTTTACAGTGCAGTGAGTCTGATGGTTGCTTCTCAGTCTCCCCAAACGAGCTGTCCCTCAAAGTGGGAGAGGAAAGGACTATGTTTGTCGTCTTCAAAGCCCAGGAGAGCAGAAAAGCCAAAGAAAGGTGCTCTATTATACTTTGCCTGTGTGTGTAGTTCTGTTTCTGCAGAAGTCTAATCACAAGATGAGTTCCTGAAAGCCTTCATATGCTTTGTAAATGTGTAAATGGGTTTTCTTTGTGTCCCATGTTGCAGTGTCCTTACCATTCTGGTGCTGCCGTCTGGCCCCCAGTATGAGGTGACCCTTAAAGGAGAAATCACCTCAGACATCTCTGGGAAACGAGCCATCTCTTCCTCTGGTGTCCTAGCCCCCGATTTGGTCAATGACGTCCCACCAATCCTTTCCAATAAACAATTTGTTGCCTGGGGTGGTGTCACCTTAGGTCGTGCCATGTAAGCAACTTTTCTTTAATTTATGGTTACAAAAAACTATACATGTATCAATTATTCATGGGAAAGTAATCAATGAAAAATCTCAAGGCCCACTGGTCCATCTTATTCGATTAAAGGCTTTCTAATGTTATTCATGAGAAGGGACAACAGTGTCTACAGGGAGAGTTTTTCCTCACAAGCTATTTCAACATAATGTACAATTTATTTATACTTTAAAAAGTGAGCTACCTGTGTGTTGGTTACAACACGGAACTCCAGAAGAGTAGAACCAGACCCTTGCTTAGTTTTGGGGCGTTATTGGATGTTGGCAGGCACACAATGTCTTTTTAAATCTGTATTCTGATGCAGTCAACAGAAGCTGGTCCTAAGAAACAATTCAAAAACTGAGACTCAACAACTGCGTTTGCTGATAAGGGGGCAAGACCAAGACTGTTTTCAGGTAAAGTTAATTCACTGGACTACAGGAAACGGCATACAACTGAATTTAATTGTGGCCAATACTTTCCTGTATGTGCATCAAAAGGTTAGTCAAAGCTTGAACGGATAGAAATGATTTCCTCCATTTACTGTTTACACTTTTCATAAAGCAGGTTTTCCCATTTCCTTTTACTGAAATGTCTCTATTTTGTGACTTGTTTGTTTTCAGCTGCAGAGTATGTTCAGCCTTGAGGAGCGGTTGACCCGACATGGGGAGCTGTCCATTCGCCCCAGAGAAGATGTGACCGTGCACCTTCTCTTCGCTCCCACCCGGGTCGCCTGCATGATGGCCAAACTGGAGATCAAGCAGTCTGGAGTCCGGCCCTCGCAGCCTGGCATCAAGTTTACTGTAAGCTGTTAGGAATTACCTTAAAATCTCTTTAGAAGTGTTTTTTTTTCTTTTAAAAGCTGACGTAACATGCTGAACATTACTGGGACTTAGTTTTTCAATAACCTGAAACTGATCCACTCCAAATTATAGTCAATAGTTACTGTTTAGTACCGTTCTTACGCTGTATGTTGCAACTCTGATAATTCTACACTGTGGAACAAATAGATGTTGGCATTGTCTAATGAATAACAGAACTATTTGTTTGCTCGATGGCGTGTAGGAATTGCATTAAAATGATGTCTCGAGTCATTGTACAAACGTTTCCAAAATAATTTTTTCACATCTTGCTTAGTAATTAGTCAATCCTAACAAAAAAATGAGTCTACAGTACTCCATCATCTTCGCCTTTCAAACATATCTGCGGTCTATGATCTGCACTCATTTTGTTGATAATAAAACTACCAAAAGGGAATATCCAAACTAATGGATAATGGGAAAAGGTTTCTAAAATAACCTTTAAAACTGTCTCACAGAGCATTAGCCTTAGTCACTGTTTTTATTTGTATATTGGCTTTTTAAAATTGGCCAGTCAAACTCTGAAAAAATTGGCATCACAGTCTGAAAACCTTTTACGGATTTATATCTCATCTTTATACAAAGTCATGATGCTTCTTTTGCTGTTTGTGCTGTGTGTTTTGGAACCCGTACAGTCCAGGTAGCAAGTTATTGATGAGTTCTCTCAGACTTAAGTTACTGAAATCTTACAGATCCCCCTCTCGGGCTACGGTGGCACCAGTAACATCATCCTGGAAGACCAACGAAAGCAGGCGGACGGCTACGTGGCCACTCTCACAGATGTAGCAGTGGGACGTGTCAGTAAAGTGTGTCTGTGTGTGAGAAACACGGGCTCCAGAGCAGCCTTCATCAAAGCTGTGGCCTTCTTGGACGTCTTCAAACGAGTCACTATGGAGGCATCTGTCATCAGCATAGCTCCATCGCAGTTTATTCTCAAAGAAAGGACTCAAGAGGTACAGAACACCATGAGCAATAATCTGTGTGCTGTAGTTGGAGGCTGTTTTGAGCAACATACAGTATTGCTTTTCTTGTCATTATTACGTGTAATTGTTTGACAAGTTTTAAAGCAGCAGGTGCCACTTGCAATGGTGCGATTCAGTTAACAGACCTGATACATGCCAAAAATAGACCTGATACTACCACAATATAATATATAATAATACGAGATAATAATAATAATAATAATATAATGCGAGAGTGGCTCAGTTGGTAGAGCATTGGCCTTTGAGCTTGAAGGTTGTGGGTTCGAGCCCACCTTAAGACCTACTTCACGACTCACACTGATGTCTGCTGTCGTTGTGTCCTTGGGAAAGACACTTAACCCCACTTTGCCTGAAGCCCCTGCTGAAAGATCATGGCTCCTGTGGACTCACCACCTGCAGGAGGATCAGTGAGGGGCTGGTGCTCTGTGTACTGGGTGCAGCTTTGACTGCCACCCCCCCGACCTAGAAATGGATTAAGGGGAAGAAAATGGACCACAATATAATAGTTTTCAAATTCCGAGAGCTACTGAAATAGTCCATGTTTTTTCTTAAATGGCCTGTTTATTAATGTACATTTTATTTGTAACTATTCCCAGGTCATTACTATCCTTCTGAAGTCCACGCCGAGAGAGCTCAGCCTGTGCCAGATGACTGTTGCACAACTAGCGACTCTGTGCTTGTTCTGTGGGGACGAGGTCTCCCGGCAACAGTACAGGAAGTAAGACTTATATATATTAAGAGCAGTTTTGAAGTCCTTATACGTCTGACCTTTTTTGAGCAAATTATATCTTTTGCAGAATGTGTACTAGTGTCTATCAAACTATGTGCATTGGGATTCTAGTGGCACTTAAATTGTAATGCCTTATACTTCCAGATTACTTCAAAGCAAACCAGACGGCGCACGAAAAGCACTGTCAGAGAACAGCCTTTTGAAAAACATAGAATTCGGTGAGAGGTTTCTCGGAGAGGAGCTTGTCACAGAAAGTAGGTTTGAAAGTAGATAATGAACTTGCCTGGTTAATTTACTGATTTTTCACACTTTCCTTAGCCTATGATCTGCCGCTGCGACCCAATGAAGCACACCTGTTTTATGGGAATATGAGCAAAGTGGTGGTGTGTTTGATGGGCAGCACCAAAGGCCTCGAGTCTGTGGAGAACAGCCACAGCGACGAATCTCTGCCTTCGTCTGCCAGTGACGGGTAACTTCACTTTTGTATACTTTTACATAGAAACTCTCAAGCCTCCTCAAAACAAGGTTACAAGTCAGCTTATACATTTTGAGGACTGGCCTCAAACGGTTTTTCAACTCAAGGGAATGTTGTCCCTTTTTAATAAAATTGTTCATGGTGGGACCATGAACAAAGTCCATACTTTTGTATTGACCTTCTGTTGATTTATTTTTTATTTTTTATATGCTCTATGAATGGAATTGGAACATTGGGACATTGTTATGTTATTGTATAGAGCTAACCATGAAAAAAATTCCCATAATTCAGTGTGTCTGTTTTTTCAGCGGATTGACAAATGGCAACGTGTCTCTAGATGTGCTACCAGTGAAGGGTCCTCAGGGCACAGGCCTCAAAGTACCAGAACCATCCTTAAAGGTGACATTCAACTAATACTTGCTTTTTATGTTATTCTTAGATACCTCTAATTTATCTAGCTTTTATAGACTTCAATATATTTTGTTGTGTCGCATGTCCTAAGGTTAAGCAATACTTTATTGTCCCTGTAAGTGAAATGTCCTACTTTGTTCAAATGTACAGTCTAAATCAATTCTCATTCTCCCATCCCAGTGTTCCCTTCTCAAATGTTACTAATCATGACTCCTCCTTCAGAGCTCGGAACAGTTACACAAGCCGTCTGAATCATGGAGCATTCATCCAGAGCAGCTTCTCCTACCTGCTCCCACCATCAGTGAGTCCAATCCCGGTTATAGTTTTCAGATTTAAATACCAGCCTGTTTTTAAAAGCACAAAGCTGAACGTTTTTTTTTCTTTGGACATGCTGCTGTAGATGGACCCTCTGCCACCAGCACAGTTCAGATACGTAACAACTCCCCCAGAGCCTTGAGCTTTGACCTGTCCTGGCCCGCTCACTGTCTCACCATCACCCCACAACACGGAGTGATCGAGCCGCAGTAAGTGTTGCCAAGCCCTACCATTCCATATTTCCAAGTGAAAAGATGCACATGACTACTAACACCACGGCATATATGTTCACTCTTAATACATGTATAAGAAACTGTAAAATTGGTAGGTTAATTGAGCATTATACTTTTTATTTTTATTTTTTTTTTTATATAATTTATTTCCCATTCCCTATCTAGGTGTCACTTGCAAATCTTGATCAGCCCAAACCCCTCTCTTGCTAACAAATCATCTCTGCTGCCGTGGAGTGGGCAGATCTACGTCCAGTGCGATGGTCAGCAGAAGGTAACCATCCTGGATAATTGGTGAATTCTTGTAAGAATTTGTTCTTTTTGTTTTTGTACTGAGCATGTTTCTATTTTATTCAGTTCATTAAGGTTCAGATTCGGCAAGACTTGGTGTTGGATGTCTCCACGACGGCAGGAGAGACCATGCTCTCGGCTCTCCATCCTCAGGCCGCGACTCCGGTGGTGCATCTTCCACGAGGTCCCACAAAACCACTGATGTCTGCGCAGGCCTCTCTAGACCCGGTTAAGATCAGGAGTAAGACCGTAGTGTTTCCCATCAGCGCACCAGGAGAGACGTCAGGTAACCAATAAATCAGATCAGAATGGAGTTGTTATTCTGTTCAATTGTATTTGTTCGTAATATGGGCTACCCTGGCATGTTGTACATCATTGCAAATCTTGTTTTATCACATCATTCACTGAAAATTAAACCCAAAACACAATCAATAAATGAATTCGTAAAGCAGTCTACTATATTTGGCCGTCTTTCCCTTTGGTCCAGTATTATAACAAAATTCAAACCATATTCAATAGAAGTGTTCACAGTGCATCTATAATGTAAAACGGTAAATGCACAGAAATGATGGCGTGTGGGAAAGATGAGCCATTAACGACCTTTCCAAAAATAAAATGGTTCACTCACAACACCAATTAGCTCAAGATGATGAAAACACTATTTGAAGACAGTTTTCAAGACTTTGAGACTTTTTTAATCAAATTTTTGCAAAACATTGTGAATATTGTATCAAAATATAGAAACTAATTTGGACCACTATTTTAAACTCCTCACTCTGATTAGTCGCATGTGTAGTAAGTGTGTGTGTGTTTGTTCACTGTTGTCACCATGTTGTGTTGTAACTTCAGAGGCCCAGCTCGAGGTGGAGAACGGAGACAACGATATGAGGTGGTACTTGTCATCATTTGCTCCTCCATACGTCAAGGTGCTTCTATCAGCTTTTTACATTCTTGTATTGAACATATAGAACATATAGGATGTTAGATGTCTTTTTTTAAAGTTTTCTTGACAACTCTTTAAATATGACTTTGGTTTGGATGACTTTCATACTTTTCAAAAAAAAAGAAAATGTCTTTCCATTTTTGTGACATTCCACTCAAGCTGTTCTCTCCCTCAGGGGGTTGACACGTCAGGAGATGTTTATCGAGCCACCTACACAGCCTTCAGATGCTCCAAAGTCTCTGGGACTCTGGGCGCCCATGAGAAGATGCAGGTAATGCTTTATTCATATTTTCAAATTGTCAATGTCCATTTAAATTTAAAACCATCAATTAATTCTACTCTGGTTATTACACTTTCTATTCAGTTTTCTACATCTATTGCAACACATAGCACATGTATGCATTTATGTATATTATAGGTAACTGTATACACATATATATATATTTTCAATAGATTATTCTACAGATTCTATTTTTTTTCCCATGTTTTATTTTCCAGGTGCCATTCACGTTCCTCCCGAGGGACAGGGGGGACTATGCACAGTTTTGGGATCTGGAATGCCATCCTGTTTCGGAACCACAGCAAAAAACCAAGATCCGCTTTCAACTTTGTGGCACTGTGAGAAGTTTTTCTTAATTTAAAATGTATCTACAAATTACTACAGAGGGCCTCAATATTTGCATTAAGGAATAAATGATCAAAACCTTTTTAAAACGCAAAACTGGTATAAGCTCATCTAATTGTTTTAGTGCAACTCTCGGATATTAATGAAATTTAGCAGATAGTTATCCCAACAGTTTGTAGTGTTTGTGACAAAATTGACAAATGAGAAAATATGTTTGTGGGTTGATAAGAAGGCCTCCCTGCTGGGACAGGCCTTCAGGCTCTGCATTTGTGCGACTTTTAAGTGAAGTGTGACAGACGTTGATTTAAGAGCAGACACACACAGCAAGTGGTATATAAGGAAGAGTGCAGTGATGATGGGGGAAGTGTTTGTTTTCATATGTGTGAGTCGAGGGCTTTTGAAAACTGTTTATCTTTCTGAAGTGCATTATATATCGCATCTGTGTAATTTTTAGTTCTTCAAACAACATTTCTCAAAGCAAAAGGAAGTCTTTGTTGCGTTGTAGAAATACAATAGGTACATTCGTTGTTTTACTTATCCTTTGGTTTCAGACCATGAGAAATTCAGACCATTGCTTGCTACTGTGATTTGTAATTTCTTCTTGAATGAGAAAGATCCTCAGATTTTTGCATGAAATGGGATTCAAACAGAAAGCTGAAACCCATGACTACAGATACCATTGTACAATTGTGTTTTCTGTGCTTTACAGGGTACAACGTCTGAGGGGCCACAAGAACGAGACTTCTCTTTGGCAAAGACTGAACCTACAGTCACACAAAAAATAAAAGTTGAACCAACTGTAACCAAGCCCAGGTAGTTTCATTGAGTTCTACACTATTAAAGCTAGGGCTCCAAATGTTCAAACCACGTCAAATAAACAATGTTCAAAGATCCATCAAACAAGTTCTTAATTCTAAACACTGTTTGGTTCCTTCTAAACACTGTTTGGTTAGCTCAATTTTCTTGGCCAATTGGCTCAAAGCAGCAAATAGTGACATAGTAAATAGTGCAAAATATATATTATAAGATAAAAACGGCAATTATGTTTTGTCTTCATCTCAATGTCCAAACAAATGTCTGAATCTTATGTTTAAGTAACGAACAAAATGTATTATGCAAAAGTGTGAAATCATTTACTCCATAAACTAAATTGAACAAAGTACATTTTGCACGTAAGCTGAAGATCTAAAACCACACAACTGTAAAACCAAACGGCACGTGAAGGCTCTTCTGAACTCTCATCTGAAACACTTGTCATTCTTCTCAGAGCGGAGGAGGCTGTGCGCAAGGGTGTGTATTCTCCCCAGAATCTGTACACGTTTCCAGCCACACGGGTCGGCGAGTCCAGCGCTCTGAAGGTCAACATCCGAAACAACTCTGCCGACACGCACGAGGTAAGCCAGCTTCCCATCAAGACGTCCACAAGGAGCGGGGAGGTTTCTGTTTCGCTTACCACAGCAGAAAGTCAAATCCATTGTGCACACATGAAAGGCTATCAATTTTGGTGGGGGGGAATGAGCTAAGCGGTAACCTTGGTATTGATGGCCTGAGCATGTTTTAACAGTTTGGGTTACTTTTTGGGGCCAAGTCTACACAATGAGGTTTGCAAACTGATATTTCGGATATTACAGTGTCGTCCCACAACTACTCGATTCCCAGTGCAGAAACGCGTGCCTTTCAGTTGGGTTTGTATTTCATGTCTTGAGTAGTTCAACTAAAAAGAGACACGCATATAGAACACGTAGTTGTAAATATATGTTTTACTGCAAGGATACGAGACTATTTATTGCATTTTTTGTTAAAAGTGAATAACTAAGCACTGATACTAAAACAATCTGTTACTTCTGTTATATGACCGCATTCAGAAACAAATTATTCTGTGCTGAAATGGCCTAATTATGATATTGAAGTTGTAAGAAAAGGCGTCAAACATTAACGGTACTAAAACATATCTGGCTTTTGAAACGACGACATTGTAAGCCATTCACATATTCTTTTCAAATTTCACATATCCGTTTTTGCAAATGAGTGCTTCCATTTTCTCTGAAACGGCACTGTTCTTGTGCAGACGTGGCCTCTAAACGCTCGCACATGTTGGCAGATTAAGCAGTAGTGACAGCAGCTGGTGATTTGCATGACTGAAATGTTGTAACCTCTAACGTTTGTTCTGTGCCTGGCGTGGACTTGACATTTGATGTGTGGCTTCTCTAATTGACTTGCAGCTGAAATTTGTAAGCCCTAGGGAGCCCTTCTACATCAAGCATTGCCAATACTCCCTGAGGTGAGTCAACCGGTTATTATTTCTGACAGAAAGTTCACTTTTACTCCTCACTGCAGCTGGTAAAACAGGACTTTGGGGAACGGAACAGTGGCTGAAATTAGAAGTAGGATTCTTCATAGTTTTATTTTATCAAACCGTGTATTCCTCTTTCCCACTTTCACCTCTTGCAGCTCACAGCTGTTGTTTAGAGACATTACACATTTGTATTATGTATGAATGTACCTTAACAAGTTTATGTTTCTGTTAAGTCACACTTCTGTGAAAAAAAGAATAATGGTATGTGTAAACATGTTTTCAATGTACAGGCTTAAACATGTAATTATAGGTTGGTTGGAGGGACGCTTTATTATAATAATGCATTGGTTTTATATTGCGCTTTTTTGCACGGATAAAGACGCTTCACATGTCATTATTCTTTCACTCCAAACACAGTGGTGATAACCTACTACTGTAGCCACAGCTGCCCTGGGGCACACTGACAGAAGTGAGGCAACCAGTATTTGCCATTAGCCTCTCCGACCACCACCAGCCATTCACACCTGAGAATGATTGAAACAATTAATACATATATTATTTCCTACTATTCATTAATATAATGAAAAATTACATTTCTGTAATACTATGTACAGTAGAAATGCAGGTCATTTTGTTCCTTTGTTCACAATTCCATTGGAAGTTGATTTAAAACTTTAAAACTGTTACTTCATTATACTATCACAATCCAAAGCACAATACCTTTTTTATATATACTTGACCATTTAAATCTTATAAATGCTGTCATAACATGTTTCCTGTCATTCCTCTCCATCTTCCTCCAGAGCTCAGCATTATTTGAAGCTGCCGGTTCAATTCAAGCCCAGTTCTTCAGGCAGCCAAGCCGCCGTGCTGCTCATCCAGTCCGACAGCAGTGGAAGTCTTGTTATTCATCTGAACGGTGAAGCTGTACAGTGACTGCTTCTGCCCACTCCTCCTCCTCCTCCTCCTTTTGGATGGGTCACCTTTGCACTGCTCCAGTCACTGGTTGTCAGTGGACTTATAAATGCAGAAATACAACTGTGGATTAAATAAGGAAGCTGTTTATTATTTTTGTAAAAATAGGTTCTTCACACCATAACTGATATCTTTTTTCAAATAGTCTATCTTCTAGTTTCACATAATGCACAAACATTTAAAATTTTTGTTATGTTGTTTGAAGAAGATTGAGGTTTTTTTTCCACTGAATTGGAGCGACTGGCAGACTGCTAACCAGTTCCAATCTGCATCTGGAGAGACACAGGTGTCCTCAGCTGGCCGGCACTGAACCATGTTGGTTTTCAATTAGCGTGCACTGTTCTGCCCATTCAGGGGTAATGTTTTTGGTCATCCAACTCAGGATGATGTGTTTACCTTATGCCACAATTCAAATACTTCCTTATATTAGAATATAATTGCCTTTTCATATCAGCAATCCCTTGCCAAAATGTCTTTGCCAGTTTCTTTTTGGAAAAAAAAAACGTAACAAAAATATGTTTTTCTACTTTTTCTCAAGTTTCTACAGCTCTTTTGTACTTTTCATAAGGCGCTCCTAATTGCCGTTGTTGCTGTGTGACCACCTGCTTGGTGGCCTTTGGCAGTGTACTGTTAACTTCCCAGCAGCCACCACTCTGCTCCAATCCGTCCAGATGTACCTAATTTAGCCATGATCAGGGAGGCTGGGAGCAGCATTAGGATGGTTAATGATTGTTATTACATGCTAAAAGAGTTTCCTCTGTTGGGGCTTTTGTTCGGCACTGTGCCAGCCTTTAGTATGGTTGCCATGGCAAACATGTTAATCGCAGTTCCCGTCACCGAAAATTACGTTCCCACTCCTCTTTGGATTGAGGGCAAGTGCCCAAAATTGGTTCGTGCTTTGGATTCACATCACAAATATCCTACCACTCTGGAGGGGAAGTAAACATATGTACAAAGTCTTTATTATTTATGAACTGTTAAATGCCCCAGACTGGCAGATGTTGACACTAGTGTATATGCTTTTTATTTACCATTTTTAGATGAAGGCAGTTAAAGGGCTGTCAAAGGCTTCCTGAAACATTTTCTATCCTGACTATTTGCACATATCCAATAGAATTATGTAAGTAATGTTTTGACATGTTTTTAAATAAAGTTGTGTCATATTATTTTGTGTGAGTATGAATTCTAGTACAATTTGTGCATTATATGCGACTATGCATGGATTAAAATGTGGTTGGTTTCATGAAACATTTTGAAGGCCATTTTCTGTATCAAAAGATACAATATTTTAAGATTAAGAGGAATATGGATGTTATTATATTATGAATGTCACATTATATTTGAATGTCAGTGGGTGCTTTCCTGGTTAATAAAGCTGTATATAAAATCAAGGATACGCCTCACCCTGTATAATCATGTATCTTTTCACCTGGAGAATTGTGCCACTCTTTATGCCACTTCTTATTCTGTCAATATCCCAATGGCTCTGATAAGTTCTGGTTGTAGCCAGGAATCGCCTACCGCTGATTGTGCGTACTGCATTTACTTTCAATATTATTATAGTTACAATTAGTTTTATCTGCACAGTTGTAAATGTGTTAGTTTCCTATTCTGCAATTTGCCCTGCTGACATTTCCCCACCGTGGGACGATCATTGTCATAATCTGAACAAACAACCAATTCTAGAGATCTTTGTAAAGAGCTTCAGTGCTCCCACGGAAATATAGTTAACTTTTTCTGAATAATCAAATCCAACGTGATGCTGTGGTATAGACTGGGCGCAGTACCCCCCGTGCCCTGCAGATGTCGCCAAAGCTCCGCTGCACATCGTGAGCTTCATCCCATACAGTAATGCAGCTGGCGGCTCCCTCACACCGCTGTAGTGGGACGTGACGCGTGGCCACACAGCACTACAGACTTTAAACACGCGCGGAGGCTGAGTGCGTCACTGGCTGCCTTTTACAGGTAGGACGCCTGTGCCATCTGCGCTTTGACGCTCTTTATTTGAACGCAGTTAGCAGTGCTGTGCTTGGGGGCTGCAGGGCTCTGTTACGGGGTGCTAGCTGCTGCTGTGTCCGCTGTAGGGGCGACACTCCCGGCTGGACTCTGGAAGTTGTACTGGATATAGTTGGAGCTCTTTCCAAGCTGCGCCAGTCACCGGGCTAAGCTAAAAAGGAGCCGCGTTAGCAGTGTGTCGCTAGCCCCTGCTCTGGTAAAGCCCCTGTCCCCTGGCTCTTCCTCTGCCCGTGACCTCTCTTCTCAAGCCCGCAGACCCCCGGGGGCAGAGGGGCATGAGTGGTTGTGCCCGTGGGCTGCACTGGAGGATTGTGGTGTGATGCACAGTTAGCCATGAGGCTAGAGGGGATTTTTTCAGACTGTCATTCAAATCAGAGGCCAGGCTTTGCACAACTTTTACCCAGAGAAGGCGACTCGCTGTCAGGAACTTGTCACCTGCGTTTGGCGCGTAATGATGGGGATGTAAACAACGGGACAGGTTTTCTTTCTTCAATAGTGAGGCTTATTTTTATTTTTAGGTTCTCATCAAAGTCCCACTCCACCTACACAACACATTTCTCTCTTCTCCATGGTTTCACTAAACAGTTTTTTTCAAGGTTAAAATCTGCTTTTATTAAATTGAAACTTTGATTACTTCTACAGCCTCTCTTAGATTTTACTGTAATTATAATTAATACAATGTATAATATTACCACTATATCAAATTTGAATTGGTTGTAGGCAACAATGGATCATCCTGAATTATTTTGTTGCAGCCCTGGTATACCTAGTTCAAGTCCACTGCAACGTTTGAAAATACTTTGAGAACTCCTCCATAAATAACAATGTAATTAGTCTTTCTTCAGTTTACATTAGTTGAATGCCTTCATATTGACTAAGCATTGATTTTTATAGTCCTCAGAGATGTTCCCTGGAGCCACATCTCACACTTGCATCTCTGAAGTGAAGCCCAGGGAACACCCAGCTTTCTCAGCAATAACTGGTGACTTTCCATCTCTGTGGATAGAAATCAATAGGCCTAATAGTGTTGGGCCACTGCTACGTCCTCATACTCACCGCTGAGGCAATAAAGTCTGCTTCAAATCATATGCTATCAACTTTACTTCAACTTGTTAAGTTTTGTCACTGCAAAAAAACGATACATAATATTGTTAAATTGTGCATGTTACAAAATATCAAAACAGACTTTTCAAAACAGGACACAAAGTGAGCTCTTTGGAGGGCCCCAAACCCCAATTCAATCTGGAACCACTCAGACAAGATGTATTAGAATTCTGTTCATCAAGTTGCATTGAGTATATTAGTTACTGCATGACGAGCCACTAAACCCAGCAGGTGGTTATGAATTACACTTAGACTATGGAAGGAATATAGGGTGATGGATTCAGAAGGTATATATGAAAGGTCTAAACCCTGGTGGGGTGGTGGGACATTGAAGTGAAGAGGTCCAGTCTTCCAGTTTGAACCTGCGCTTCAGCTTCATTTCTCATTCATTTGTGGGATGTGTCTGATTCTGCATCTCATTCTGCACGGTGGCACAGTGATTAGCACTTATACTTCTCAGCAAGAAGGTCATGGTGACAGTCATGCTGGACCATGACTGTCACCCCCTGCAGGACACTCTCTCTGCTCCGGAGAGCAGCTTCAGTGACAGACTAATTCACCCTCGCTGTATGAAGGAGAGGTTCCGTAGGTCTTTCCTTCCTGCTGCTGTCAGACTGTACAATAAGAACTGCTGAGCCTGTAAATTTCATCTGTAATTAAGTAAATTCTTAAATCATGTGCAATGTGCAACTTCAGAATGTCACAGAACAATGTCACTTTACTTTATCTACTTATTATCCTGCACTATTTAACTGTACAGTATATAACTGCACTACTACTACATATATATATTTTGACTGGTATGGAAGCATTTTCAGCATCTTCAGCTAGTTATGTTAGCTAAGAAACATAGCTACTACTTATTTGTATATATTGTGTGTGCTCCCTGTGTGCTCTTACTACTGTCCTGTATGTGTGCTGCAACATTGAAATTTCCCCACTGTGGGACGAATAAAGGAATTCTTATCTTATCCATTCTACCTCCAGACCTGGCCTTTCTGATAGGAGTTTGCATGTTCTCGCTGTGTTTGCTAAGGTTTCCTCCGAGTGCTCCAGTTTCCTCTTTCACTAAAAACCTGCACAATACCTCCCCTCTCTCCGGGGTCAAGACCACCCTGAAAGACATTCTGAAATCTCAGTGGGACCTTCCTGGTTAAATAAAGGTTAATATAAATAAGATAACTGTGGCTAAGGAAGGACACTGGTCTTTGATTGAAAGGAACTAACTTTAGAGGCAATGATAAATATTGTTTTGTGTTCTATGATATTTGATAACATAGCATTAGAATTCCCTCCTACCATGGAGATAAACCGGTGATAAAATGTCAGAGTGAATGAATGAAACTGAGATTGTCCATACTCTGGGACACTTAAGGAAAAGCGGCGCGATGGCAAAGTAGACAACACTCATCCGTCACAGTTAGAAAGGTGCATGTTCCATTCCTGTTAGGGCAATAACATCTGCTTTCACTCCATGTACCGGCTTTACTAATCCTCCTTTCTAAAGTTGAGCCATCTTCCGCTGAACTTGCGGATTTCTTTTTTTCCTAGCGTCTGTATAAAACTGATGCAATTATTATCTTGGTGACACACACTAAGCCTGTCAGTATTATCCAACATTGATCCATATGTATATTGTGTAGTCTGTCGGCTCCATTCCTCCCACTTATTGGCTTTACATTACAGAGACTGCTGCGCCGGGCTCCATCTGTGCAGAGCTGTTTGTATTTATGATGCATTTGGATGACTGTACATCAGCCCCCTGAAGAGAAGCTACTGCATTCGAGCCATGAATCAAAAAAAATAATTGAAATCGACATTTGACAAAACCCTCAATCTTTACAAAGGTTCTTGTGCAGAGATTATTAGTAAATAGCATTTAAGAAAAACTTGTATGACTTGATTTAGAATGCATTTACGTTTTTGTCTTTCACCTGGCTATCACGTTAGCTATGAGATCTTTCCAAGGGCATACAATTGTTGATTTTGTTCTTTCCAGTGTTTTTGATTTGATATACTTTTTTCCTCTTTACTTGTAGACAATTACTTATTCAGCTACATAACTTCAGATGTACCAATAATTGATATGTAGCAATACACATTCACGTGTACTGTGTATCTAAACCACAGAATGACTTAAACATATGAAGATTTTCCAGAATTTTAGGAAAGAACCGCCCTCTCCGCAACACTCTACCTGCTCCCGAGAGGGAATGCCTACTAAATGGTGTGTGAGCCCAGTTCTCGTCGTGCACTATCTGTTTACAAGTCACTGTGGGCATCGCTCACACAAGCTTATTATACAAGAAGACTTGCGCTTTGTCCCACTATGTCAGTCAATATAGACGTTGATAACTTTGACTGGAAGTGATTTGAAATAGATTTGCAAAGCCACTGAGGGTCAGGAGCAGTGGTCGTTGTCGTACAGTGCTCGTGAATCCATCTCCAGATGTTGATGTTCAACTTGGTTAGGTCTACCGGAGCTGGAAGATTTACCTATTAGGAATATAAACAGTTTAAGACAGCAACCAAGAATAATAATGAACAGTTCCTGTACATTTTACATCCCAGATCATATGATCTCGGAAACTCTGAAGTTCCAACATCCCACTCGGAACAATGGGAATGAATGCTGCTGAACTCGGAAACTCTGGCTGGGTCAATGGTCCCTGAGCGCCGAGTTTGCGTCACTGTGACATTGGATGAAAGCATAGAAACAAAGTGAGCGGGAATTGTTTTAGATCACACTGGCAGTTTTGTTCCCATTAAACACATTTAAGCCAAAGATCCATTTAAAATAATAATATAATTTAATGTATAAAATGTAAAAGTTTACCAGAAACATCTATAAGATTGTAAATGTACAACATATTTGCTTCTGTATTTCTCATATCAAAACAGTTAAGGTCTCTTTGCCTTTCTCATGAACAAGCGAAGAGAATCCAGGTTCCTTTCTGTTTATTTTTGTATAGTTGTTGTCACTGCTGCAAGTGTTTGTCATCAGCATCACCAGCTCCTCCTGAACGCTATGATTTTGCCAAGTCGAAAGATTTCTGTATGTTGATATATATGTCTGAGTTTTTTGAGATCGCATGAAAGTCGTTGGATCCTCTCTAAAGCCTCAGTGTTAGCAGACTGTACTAGCTGAATTATTGAAGGCGACAGTGACTGTGCAGCCCGGGCCATAGGCTACAACCTCAGAACTCAGAAGGTGCTGTGAACTCCTCATGAACTTGCAGGGAATTGAACCAGAGATGGCATAGACACACGCGCGGGCCCCTAGAGAATCAGGCCTAACACGGAGCTATCTTAAACCAGGAGAGTGGAGGCGTGACCTGATTTCTGGGACATGACAAGTTTACCCGTCCATTTTAATGAGCCGGGGTCCCGGGGCGCAACTCGCAAGATTAAATTTGGCTGGTAGGTAAGAGAGAGTGCCACAGATAAGGGCCGAGCTGCTCCGAGTTTGAAGTGGATACACGGGCCACATTAAAATATTATTAGCTAATGAATGTTGTAAAATGGGCAAACCCAGACTTTTAATAAATCCAGTATGGTACCTAATAATGGCCATAAGTCAAAGCTGAGACAGGTGAGGAATTATGCAGGAAATTGGTAATTGCTAATGAGCACAAGCTAGAGGATTAGTTTTAAAGATAAATTCTGCAGAAGTAAGTATAATATCTATTTTAACTTCAACTCTACTCTCTCTACTACTGCTGTCTATGTTTTTCCTCATATTGAGATTGTGTTTAATGACCAG